TAGATGGCCTTTGTTTGAATCACGTATGGAGTGCAGCATGACCCAATTAGTGTCACCTGATAGGAGGGCCTCTCATCAATGTAATTTAGTGAATCTAAAGGACAAATGAGTCTGGAGCTCCTTACTAATGCAAATTAACAGAGGCCACCCACCTCTGGCCTGCAAACACTGACGTAAGGTTTGTAATCACTGCCAATAGGTAGGCATAATTTGCGCAGAAGGAGCTCAGAGGGGGCACGGCTGGGTGGGAGTGGACTTCACTTATTTTCACATTTTACGGCCCACTGAAAAAAGAAGACAACATTGGCCAGAGACCACATGGTTGACCAAAACAGCACAAAATTGGAAGTTTTTTGTCTTTGCCTGCCGCATCAGCTACTGGAAAAAACAACGACTATTTCTGCTTTTTCCATTTCTCCTACAGGCCTCTATCAGATTTGGAGGCTGGTAGCATTTTGTTTTCTTCACAAATGCACATTTAAAACCCTGACTTCAATGGCCAGCTCCACCTTCATACCACACACTTACAAATGATGGTTCTTCAAGGGTTCTTTAGTAAAGAAAGTGGTTCTATATAGAAGCATGAACAATCCTTTCCATGATTAAAGGGCATCATGAAAGTTCCAAAAGCTCCAAAGCTCCAAAGTTTCACTACCCTAACTCAGCAAAGGCGATGACGAACCACAATGCAGAGAAACACCAAGTGCACATTTTCCCCCAATACTGTTATTTTCAGGTAACAAAACAAATGACACAATATCTTTAAAAACGATCAACGTCTAGGCCTCCTGCAATAGGAAACTCTAATTCTCCAGGCTAATTGGGGAAAGTGAAAAATGGTAGATCATACATCTAGAACCATGAACATTCAAAGAACCTTTCACTGACTAAAGGGCTCTTTGCATTGTGAAAGTGTTCTTCAGACTGATGGAGAACGTGCTGTAGAAAAATATTAGGCACAGCTCCAAAAGTCAGTATGTACATTTACACAGTTGATCTAAGATTAAATAATACTTTTCCCTTATTTCCCTTTTCTTTTTTTATCCTCTTTCATAGTCACTCTGCATATGTAAAACAGCTCATCACAAAAGCAATTTCCAATATTTGAAACCATTTTTAATATAAAACAATATTTTGAAGGGGTTTAACTTAGGAGTTTGTATAAAACAGATCCATGTTTACTTTCTATATCATAAATGTTATACTACATTTAATGTAAATATGTATTTTATTTAAAAATATTCACTCATCTCAGAGATAATTTGTCAGAATAATGCCACATATCATTTTTATCACTGATTTTAAACAGTTGCACAAGGTCACCTGACCACCAACGGGTCTGCCAATTTACAAAATGCTACAGTTTTAACCAGAATGTCACTGGAGTCACAGTCACTGGTGTTACATTATATTCACATAACACAGTGACATGTGAAGTATGTTTGGAACTAAGCTTTCATTTTTGCATATATGATAATAGGAGATGTTAATGGACATATTAAGATTGTTTTGTTTGGGGATGAAAGAAATTGATTTTTTAAAATTGTATCCACCTGAATTCCCACTCTAAATGGATAATGACCCAAATGTGTACAACTGTACATATCATAGCTTGTACTTCACAACCTTTATTACTGTTATTAAAACTGTACACTGGAAATGGTGCAATACTGGTGCATATCAGTGTGTATATTTAGAGACTAATGTGTATAGATTTGTATATACTTTTTATTAATTTTTGTATTTAAGTACTACAAGGTGGCTTTGCACCTAAGATTTTCCTTTGCACCTGTGTAAATGTGATGTGGCAATAAATGTGATTTGATTAATTAATAAAGTAAAAAATGAAAACAGAAAAGGCTAAACTATGTCCTTTCTAACATGCAGAACTTTAAAATCCACATTAAATACAAAATGCAAGATGACTTTCACATATCACAGTTGTCATCTTTCACTTACGGTGAAGTATTGAGGAATGATTCTGAGATGAAAGATATGAATTAGGAAAAACTGGCACCACTTTAAAATAAAACTACCTTTATAAAGGGTTTATGAATGGTTTAAAACAAGTTTATTAACAGATATTATTTAGGTCATAAACACTTTCAAAATCGCTTATAAGCAGTTACAACACATGAACAAAAAGGTGAGCTGTGGTATCTGGTGAGTATGACTGTGAAGAAGCTGATAATTTAATGCTGACTGATGGAGAAGACAGGAAAATCAGTTCAAGATCAAAATCTGAGGTTTAACAGTATAAATGAATGTGGGTTCACTATTAGACAAACATCAGATCACTGTTGCCCTTCAGACTGGTTAAATGAGTTTATTAATAGTTATTAATTACATCATAAACACCTTATTATCATCAATAAGCGGTTATAACACAAACAAAAAGGGCTATTGATTGCCTAATAGTGAACCCACATTCATTTATACTGTTAAAGTTCAGATTTTGATGCTTACTGATCTTAATCCATCAGTCAGTATTAAACTGCCGGCTGCATCAAGCATTCATTCATCAGATGTATGAGCTCACCTTTTTATTAATGTTATAACTGCTTATAAATGATTTATAAAGTGTTTATGATCTAAGTAATAACCATTAATAAACACATTTTAAACCATTCATGAACCCTTTATAAGGGTAGTCTTATTCTAAAGTGGTACCGAAAAAAAAATGTCCATAGAGACAACTGTGGTCACACAGCAAGAAATTATTTAAATTTACTCAAAAAACAATGTGTTTAACCGAAGTACAAAAACATTTATGGTTTATGGAAATTTTTTAGAATAAGCATAACTTTCCAAACTCATAAAGAGGATATATTTACAATGAAAAAATCCTCCTCATGAGTTCTGACCTCAGTAACTTTCTGACCCTGCATACAACTTTTATTGTAATATGGAAGCACAGCTGTCTTCTAGCCAACCTACAGTGGCAGCTAATTAGCAATGGATTTCTGCCAGCAACACTGGCTCCCTGCCAAACACATCCGGTTCATGGAGTTTACTACCTTAAGTCATTTCATCCACCTTCACACCAACCCAGCTGTATCAGTATCTCACACATCTGTAGACAGAACTGTGCCCCTATAGCCCATTAATTAAATGGGATTGTTAAAAACCCTTGACATAACTAGAACCTGGGATCACCTTACTAGTACAACTAGCTTCCAAGTGAGAGTACTGATCAGACTTGGGCCCAATCCCATTTCTTATTTTTACCCCTACCCCTTGTTTTAACGTGTAACCTTGCCCCTTGTTACTGAATTACAATGGGTAGCAGTTGAAATCTACCCCTACAAAATGAGACAACCCTCAAAGAAAGGACATTACTTCATAAACAGGCTACTGTAGGCAACCCTGTCAGTCTGCAGTGATAGCAGAGGAGGGTAAAGTTCAGCAACCTCACTGCTGAGCTTTAGTTACATTTAGGGAATCATATGCCTTCAAAGAGGGGGATAAGACAGTTCTTTATAGTTGCTCACCCCTAAACCTTTGATGATAAGATAATACAATGCTTATTGTAATTTTTTAACAGAGAAAATACTCATATTTGTGGGTTTCTTTGGTCAGTTGTGCAGCCATCTTGCCAGATTTTCATTTTTTCCTCATAACACTGTGTTTGGAGTCTCCAAACTTATTCAAGGGCCATGTAGCCCTACCCTTTCGCCGTACCCCTCTATCTCAACAAAAATCTGGACATCCTACCCCTAGACGTGAACACGCAAAATAGTGGGATAAGGGTTAAGTGATAGTGGTGAGGGGTGAAATGGGATTGGGCCTTTGTTTCAGCTCTCCTTGGAAGGGGAGCACTGATATCAGGTCCCTGTTGGCAATGCTGCAATTTCTTGCACTGTTCCAGCTTTTGGGAAAGTGTGCAACAAGTAGATGAGACACTCGTCATGTGCAGGTCATGCGGGAGCTGGTTCCATGTCTGAAAACATCAACAGAAGATCTACTGAAGGGGAGAAGAACCAAAAGACTTGCACCATGCCACCTCCTCTCTCCTCACCAAGCTTAAGCGTACCAACTTACAGCACAGGGCTGGCACCTATGCAGCAGATAAGCCACTGCAGCTGGCATTCTGCTACTGGCTTCTGCACACTGGATCCGGAGGGAGGTCCCAGCAGCAGAGATCATTGCCTTAAAGCCCAGGAAGGTAGGCCACTGGAGTGTGCCTGCTCTCCCTTGGTGTGCTCCAAGATCTTCTCATGCATCTCATCAGGTCCTGATGGGCAAGGACTTTGGCCCCAACGTCCCTAAAGACATATTCATCAACTAGGGGTTAATTTTCAGCTCTCGTCTCACCAACCTGTGTTATAAGGGGGGATTTGATTAGCCTTTCTGGCTGGCAAAGGAGCAGTTCTACCTGAGAGTTGTTGTGGTCTTTCTGATGTCGCTTACAGATCCAAAGTTCCTCTAAACTGCCATTTCTTAATGAACTTCAGACAATGAAAACTGAGCTTGATGCGCTTTATAATCTTTTTATAGCCGTCCTCTGCTTCAATTACCATCAATTAGCTTTATTTTCAGATCCTCAGCCAGAGGAGCCCATGATTAGTGTTAACACAAAATTTGAAGTCAGAGAATTTATTACACTCTTGCCATCAGCTGAAAAATTTTTCAGACTTTACAACTGAAAAGGTGTGCAAACTTTTGCACGTGCCCCATTACTATTTTTCTTACTATTTTTTTACTGTTTTTTTTTATCATTAAAGATAATGAAATATAAAGTAACTTATCATTTGCTGAAAAATGTTAAGACGTTAAAATTGATGGCTGCAGAGTGTCTTTTCACTTGAAAAAAAAATTATAAATAAATAAAATTTTTCATTTGGCCAGGGGTGCTCAAACTGCATACAACTATACATCGTTTTGGATGGTTTCAAAATGTGCACCTGTAATGGTGTAAAACACTCTTTAACCAGACCATACAGCAATGCTGATTAGTCAGTGTTTAGTCAGCCAAGGATGTTGGACAAAACAGAGAGAAATATAGAGAAACTTGTTTATTGTACACAACTTAAAATAAACCAAGTGGCTGACTGAACTGTCTCAAGGAGTGAAAGATTAAAAAAAATACAAAAAGTAAAAAACAAAAGAACAACCAAAAAATTCCGCTTCATATATTTCCAAACCGCTCAGCTCGTTTTCTCTTCTTTGCCTAAAAGACGGAACAAAACAGAATGAAATATTAATAACATGAAATGAATATTATATTATAAATTAATGAAGTGATGAGAGAATGAAGATCTTTTCATCTTTAGGACAAAATTCTTCAATATGAATGAAATTATTTGGCCTAGTTGGTAAAGTCATAAATATACGCTTAAATTCAGCTCCACCAAGCAGCACTAAGTTCAGTGCATGTTGGCACACAATAATACTTTCTCAGCCCTAAGGAATGTCTAGGACATTTAACATTAAGTAATAGATGGTAGAAAAGACAGATAAGTGCAAGAGAAAGCACAACAGCAGGACTCCTAAAATCACACATTTATAATTATTAATATTTATAATTCTGTTGACTGTGGCTTCTGTATTTGTTGTATGCCAAGCTGAATCAGTTCAACAGAGCTTTGTCACTCTGATTCAATTAGAATGTTTATCTGAATTCTCCAATTTTAACTGCCGGTACACAAACAGAGGCAATTTAAATACCATAACATGAAAACTGACAACATTGTGTCAATATTGTTTTAAAACTGGCAATACAAAATCTTTAGATTGAAAAAGCTATCATAAAGCATTGTAGTAGTGTAGGTTTGAGGAATTGCTGCATTGTACATATCATAACTGTGTCTAATTAAACTAATAAACAGAAAACAGAATTTCTGAATACTATATTTCAGCCATGAATACTGTTTCAAAATACTCTGCCTAAAAATGTGAGAATGTCAAGTCATCCTGCTCTAAACTCAAGGTGTAATTTTTCACTTTAGTGCAGTGGGAATTTTACAAAAACTCTTCATAAATAAATGGTCAAGATGCAAACAAACAGTCATTCAAGGTAGTTTGATGTGAAATGATTCTAGAGAAACTTACTAAGTCAGAATTGTTCATTGTGGTGCTGATGGGAACCAGATGTCCACCTCTAAAAGCTTCCTCACAAGAAGTCATTACATGAAATTGTTATGAATACACTGCCTGATGTCTGACACACTGTTATGTAACAGTTTTAAAAGGTTTTGGCCTAAAACCTCTGTTTTCAACATCTAATAGTGGAGGGGTACATGCAGGTCGCTGTAAGGCAAAATAGTCCCCAAAATGTTATTTTATTCATATTACTCAGATTTATTATTTTTACCGTCATCAACATTACATTTAAAAACTCAGAAGACACCTTTTTATTGGTTGATTGGTGGTTTTGTTTAGCAGCGCTGGTTCCCATCACCACCACTGCAACGAAATCCAAGTATATTTCTCTACAATGAGAAATCTCACATCAGACCACTCTGAATGACTTCACATCTCAACCACTGATGGATTTCTCCTTTAAGGAAAAAAAACAAAAAACAAAAAAAACCCACACATCTAGACAACCATTTAAGGCACAATAAATCTTATTCTTAAACTACTCATCTACACCAATAAAAACTGAAGTCTCATACATCTGTATCATCAGCTCCAGCTGAGGCTGCACTTGTGAGAATTCCAAATCTCTCCTTCCTCTTCTTAAGCTTCTCATCCTCTTCAACCTGCATAAAAACAGCACATTAATTATGACAAACGTTTTCCGTCAAAATTATATTTTCAAATAAGCGACAAAAATAAAATCACTAAAAGATAAATAAAGAGCACACACTTGTCGACTAACATCTCACATTTCAGCTAATAAGATTTGATAATTAAATGTCCAAAATGTGACAGTGGCAAAAAAAAGTCTCTAAGAGGAAGAGAATGAAACACTTATAGAAACCCAGACTCAAAAGGGGAATCCATTCTCTTCTGGTGACACCAGATAGCAAAACAAAAATAAACAAAAGCAATGAGAGTTATGGAACAGTTCATAATAAGGAAATGACTAATGAATGTACAATTAGGGGTGCACTGAAATTGAAAAGAAAACAGCTGAAAACGTTAATGGAAAACTTACATAAGAATACAACACAGCATCAAAATCTAATTTTAACGGTGCAAAAAAAAGACAAACAAAAAAACAAACACATATGCAAGGGTGACAGGTTGCTGTGCTAATGGTGACACCAAGGCTAAAGGCCATCATTAACCCAAGAGCTCAGGGATTACTAAAGGAGGTCGGACCAGGTAAAGGGTTAACATCTGCGTGTTATGTACCATAACAAAAATTTCAACCAGTATATCACCCACTACTAATGCCTCACCTTGAAATACTGGCATTAAGGATTTTGCATTTCGTATTTTTTTTTTACTGCTGCTTCTCTCAAAACGCGAACAAATCCAACACCACAGGCGTGTTGCTTTATTGGTGTGTATGGATTCAACACAAAAATTGGTTCATGGTATCAGTATCCTTTGTTGCAGATGCTGATACTCTTTATGTACCCGTATCCATGCAACACTAGTTTTCCATGTAAGCTTTTCAGGTGAATCGACAGGAAAGCTCTTCATGCACGTGTCGCTTCCAAGGACAGAGTGAAGGAAGCAAGCAAAACACTGGAGAATAACTTTTTGTTAAAGGCAGAAAAGAAATCTGAGCGGATAACTAGCATATCAATTTGAATTGAACGGGGACACTAGGCATTTTATAGCATGACTTATAAAATAAGCTGCATTTTTTAAGCCAGGAGCTCGGCTGAAAGGCTCTGTGGGTTTCCATAGTTCACACAGCCAATGTTCAGAGCCCAGCAGGGGGTCATCTCCCACAGTGCACTGCTCTGTGCTGGTGACAAGTGTTGAAACAGTGCAAGCCAATCTCATTTCGATCTCCAGAGATCATCAAGTTCATTTCGCTGGCTCCAGTGTGCCCCCCACCCTCTTTTCCCTCATCATGTTTTCTTTTTTGCCTCCTCAAACAATATTGGGCCAAATACAGGGCCTCCGCTCTCTATTCACAAAGCCATTCTAGAACAGCTTGAATTAGTGACAGTTATTATTCAAACTAATGAGTAAAACCCGCTGCGGCTCACAATAAGAAACAGTGACGTTTTCCTACACAGTTGCAGAAACATTTCATTTCAATACGATAAAGTGGGTCGAATTTCAATGCGGAGGGTCTACATATGAATTCATTTACATTTGTTGCTTTTATGCTGCTGCATAAAGAACACAGCAATGTTTATAACCTTTTTTCTACTTCAACAAACTAAATGTTACCACAGTGGCGCTGGATCGGGCTGTCATTTTCCCCCCTCCTTTTAATTGGCCGGGCTCGTAATGACGTGACGTCATGAGAAGTGCATTGTGCAAAAAGCAGGGCATATGGCCTCCTCCACCTCTTTGAGAGGATGCGTGTGTGAAAGTGTGCGTGCGCGTGCATAATAACAGCAGGACAAGAGGCTATTTTCTCTGTCCACTGGTAAGGTGCCTATGGTGCTCAAGTTGTAAGGCAGGGGAGAAAGCAAGTAACCAAATGCACTCTAAAATCTGTATATGCAGTTAACTAACTATCTACAAGTAAATCTATTTATGAAAATATCCAACTGCGACTTTTCTGACCAATACTGCGATTGTGATTTGAATGCAGTAATTTTCCAGTAATTACTTTCTGGCATGAAACCATTTAGCTGTGATGGTTGCGATGTCACCTATCACTGTTGTCGAAACAATCTCCATTTTTGTCATTTTCCATTTTTCACATAATTTGAAAATGTCCTTTACATAGTGGGTGAAGTTCATGATGAATGGACCAAAAGAAACAGCCCAAAATTACTCAGAAAAAAGGTGGCTCCATTGACTTACATTAAAACTAAGCATGTTTTTTCTTTCTCCTGTAAAGTTGTCATTTTGGATATACAAGGTTTGGTTCTGACAGCAGTGATGTGTAGAACATGGGTGTTTTGTTGCTTCTGATTTGTCTAACTCATCTACAAGCAGCTTACAAAGCTCTGTGTGATTTGTTAAGACAACACTGCTGATAATGTATTATATAATAAAAATTGCAGCTCTTACGATTTGAAAATTGCATTCCTTCAACTTGCGATTGATATAAAACCAATTCATCTTTTAGCTCTAACACCTTGCTGTTATGAACCACGAGTGGCCTAAACTAAACACAGTTAAGGACATGACAAGACAGAGGAAGTTGGCGATAAAGCCACATTAAGCTAACTACCGTAGCTCATTTTAGGCAGGTACAGAAACAGCACTCACATTTCCACTATTTAGATAATAAACAAGCCTGGTAAGGATGCATGTGTGCTGTGAAAAACAGTGAGGAGGAAGTCCAAACTGTTAAAGAAGTAAAACATTTTTCAAGCATCATAGCTAGAGAACTTCAACTAAAAGTGACATCTTGGGTCATCAAACGTCCATAACTACAATATGATATGCCAGCAAACCACACCACCAAACTACTCAGAAGGCATGGTGGAAAAAAAGCCACTACTCGAACAATGAGTAACACTGCTGCAACTTGACTGACTACAGGGGCAGAAAGCTCGATTGTTAATAGGTTCTTTGGGCCCATGAGGCCAAAATAAAGCATCAAACATCAAAGATGACTTTACAGATGTTTAATCAAGCTGAAAGGAGCTTAAAGTAGGGATGCTAGATTATACTGAATTCATATCAGTATCAGATGGTATTAGGTTTTACTAAAACAAAAAAAATCTGCATTGGACATGTGTATAGATTTGACCAATAACAAAAATTTAATGATGTATTTAATGATAATGTACTCTAAAAGAGCAGATTATTTAGGCAAAGCTGGGTTACTGTGCTGAAATGTCTGTATTTCATTCAGTTTATACTCCATTTGTAACCCTATACAAAGTGTTAAACTTCTCTATTCTGCTAATCCTAATAAAGATGAAAATTAGACATCAGCATCTGCCCACAGCTCCCCAGCATAAAGTCAACCTAAAAAACCTTGTTTAGCTTCTTAGTTGATGTCCCTGGTGACTTTAAGCATGGCTCATATTATACCATTTAAAATTTTTGTTGTTCCTTAATTTTGTAACAAAATATGACTCCTGTTTGCCTCTTATGTTTCCCTAGTATTGCTAACATCACCAGGCGGGAAAAATAATATTAACCAATAATTCCATGTTTCACTACTTCCACCAACCCAAGCTAACACCAGGAGAAAATGCCCTGCTAGCTCAGAGACAGTTAAGTAAGTCCTTGTTCAAAAGAAAAATGTGTTATGATTTCTAAATCACGTTGACTTTAGTATCTGCTGTAAAGTATTGTGGCGAACGTGCCATTTTACATGCCTAGTCACCTTACTTTCCTGGTTGAAGTACTTGTGAACTATCAATATTTCAGTAAGATTTAGAACCACAAGAGGCTCACACTTTGTGGTTGCTGGATCTTTTAACAGAGAAAAGAGCTGGTAAGTAATAAACTGAACTGTATTCAGTTTTTTGTATTAAGGGGAACCAAAATTAGAGATGTATATTCATATCTGTTCTCACTGATCACTAAAACTTGTGAACCTGGAATAGCTGATTCTAACAAGCAGTCTCACCTCACCTGAAAACACAACTGCAGACTGTCAAAGGCTATCTTGACATTACAGAGAACAAATCCAACCTCTAAGTTCAAAGGTGAAAGGTCATGGGCATTCTGACACGAAGGAATCGAGAGACAGAGAGGAGGAGAGGAAAAAAAAAAAAAATCACTAAAAAAAACATTCATCCATCTTCTATCATTCTACGAAACTGCACACCACCTCTCAGTGTGGTCAGCATTGTCTTAGAAAGGCAGCTTCAGAAAGAAATATAAATAAAAGACAGTGAACCGTTGGTGGGGGGTAGGGAGTTTGGTGTAGGGAACGATTTGCAAGCTGTCGACTGATTGCCTTGCCAATGAAGAGTAGTGGGCCCCCTTCTCTTGTCCACTGGCCTGCATGTCCATCCCCCTTTTAGCCCCCTGGGAGGAGGTCTGTTGCGTTGTGGCCTCACTAAATCAACATTGTTATAATGATGTGTCACACTTGACCCCCTGCAGCTCTGGTCGCTCACATGGGTGTCAAGACCCACAATGGGCGGCCCTCCATCTCGTATGGACTCATGACAGATTTTGATTCATGGGATAGCCCAGCCTCTGTCACAAGAAAATTACCCCTATCAAAATGCCAGCATTTTCACATTCATCAACTCATTCACTCTCAAACCCCAACCGATCCAACCCATATCTCTCACTCTATCTCGAAAAAGAAACCAACAAAGGTGTTCGTCCTCAAACATGAGGTCACACAACAACCTCACCTTAAAAGATAGGCCTTATAGCAATGTTATGACCAACATTACCAGCTACCTTTGTTGGCAAAAATAACACTGGCATAGGTAAACCACAAAATTTGGCTAGCTGATATTGAATATTAGGGTATTTCAAAGACATTTCATCTTTGTTAACGTCTCACCACAGGCTTGGGCTAGTTCATGTTTTTATCGTCGCAATGACAACAGCAATATTCTTTATGCACAAAAGCTGGAGTCAATACAAACGACAAAAGAAGTACATCGAACTTCAGCCAAGCACAACGTATACTTAAAAAGCACTGCTAGAGGCCCTCTACATGCAGTAACATGGGCAACCATGTAACATGTGGACCAATGGCAGTCAGGGTGAGGTCTCAGTACAAATGACACAATGATTAAGAGTTCTGTTTAGCAGCCCGCAGCAGCCGAAAAGATGTGGCTTTGCTAAAAGAGTTTTCATCTGATGTATCCTGCCGGCTTTAGAAGGTAAATGGCAAGTTTTCACTTAACAGAATTCATGTTTAACGAGTTTAGTTTTACTCATGCAGCATGGCTCAGCCAGTCAACATGTTTTTCGCAGTGCTTTTGTTTTTACATCAGTTGCAAGTAAAAAAAGAAAGTGAGAGTGTATGTTGCATGCTTCTTGTGGCATGTAAATCACAATAAGAGTAAAGTTTAAAACTGTGAGTGATCAATGTGGTGTAGAAATGGTTGGCATGGTTACCACTTCTGATTTAAGATGAGATTTACAGCACAAAAAGGAGCCATGATCAAGCAATATCGGAAAGTTTGCACAAAGCACCAGGTAGAAATGTTTCTAAGGAATGCTCACATATCATTTGATTCAGTGCCAAGTAAATGGTTTTTAGACAGGCAAGAAAGATTTTTAACATTATTTTCAACCTGTCGACAATCAGAGGACAATATTTATCAGATTTTTTTTAAAGAAGCCCAATTAGGATTACAGAGTAGGGAAATTCATAATAATTGTCTCTTTTTGCCGAATTTGATTAGAAAAATCAATATCTGGCCAATATCAGCAGAAAATGCTGGACTGGGTATTGAAGGAAAAAATCCAATCCTGTAACAAATGTTTCATCTTGTTAGTTATGTACCTCTCTTCCCATGAGCTAGCAGACAGTATAATGAGTCTTACCTTTAGATGCTCATCTTAAGTGATGTGCTTCAATTTTAAAAAGCTTTTAAGCAAGAAATACTCAATGAATTTCAGCTGATACTCAAAGTTTCAATATCAATATCACGAAAGACACTGGTATCATGTCATCTTAAATTGGCCAACCCTAGTCCTGCACTGGAGTGAATATCCCCTCCCAGCCTTCTTCCATTCCCACATCTTCATCCTCGTCTGTGAAAGACCTCTGCTACGCCCTCACACCCCCGTTCTAAGGACACCTCATGATCCTTCCCTTCTTCCTTTCCCTCTTGCCACCAGCTGCCAGAACAGCTCTGCCTGATGCTGCATTCTTAATGAGTAATTTGAACAATCACGTCAGTCTGCGCTAGACTCCCCTGACGCCAGGCAGGTCAGTGTGCCCAATTCCCTGCACCCATCCCCGGGGCCCCCTCATTAGGCAAGCCCCTCTGACACCACTGCCCCCCACTACAATGAAACCCAGAAGGAAATGAGACTGCAGATCGGGTTGGGGGGTATCACAGTGCGACCAGTTGCAAGTCCCTGCAAGCTCACCCTGCTGCTACGACCCCTTAACTGCATACTTCAGTGACTTGGCTTCATTGCACATGAATTACATAACTTGCTGCTGGGGGAGGGAATAACTTGGACTAATTACTAAACCACAGGGGTATTATGAGGTGAAACTGCTGCAAATGTGTCAACGTCCAACTTCTGTTTTGAAATTTTACAAACGTTACGTCTTCCATTGCCTCCATATCAAACAAGTTCATATATGAACAATTTGTATTTATTTAGTACATTGTGGTTATTTAATGCCATTGTTGGCGTGTCGTTCAGACAAATGCTTTCATGACCTGAAATACTGGAACACATATCCAAGGTCAGATCTGACTGTCATAGCTATGCCACGTTTCTAAGCTGTTGAGTTTGCACTGGCAGGGGCTCACTAATTTTCATAACTGTAGTGACTCCTGCTGGATGACAGCTGTCTGGTCTGTGCCATCCATACTTGTCACAAAGCTACTTTGTCAAGAAGCTAAAGCCATTATTTATGACCACACTGGGTCAGTTCTTTCAGAGAAAGCTTCTAAAAGGAATTTCTGTGAAGCAGCAAAGGCATCTGTCATGCAATCATGCTGTCAGCGTATTGGAGGAAGAAACCAGTCCTTTTTCCCACCTCCCTCTAAACATAAAAACAATTTACCTAATTACTAAATCAATGCACAGACAAAAATTTCACCAATTCGTGCCAGTTGGTTCAGTAAAAAAGTGTGAGACTTTACAGAGCTGGGTTCAAGTTAACATAGTCGTGGACAGATGTGCGGTGGCTACACAGTGAGTCTTTTCTTTGACAACAGCAGGAAAAACTTGTGATTGTAATTTCATCACATTTAACAAATCTGCTGTTTGTTTAGTCGTGTTTCAAACCTGCAGTGCAACAATAAAATTACATAAAAAGAAGCAAATAGAGCTGATATTCCTGCCTAAAGTGGTTACATTACAGAGCTGAGTCTGTGGCAGTGTGAACTGGATGTGTGCTTTTTTATCTGGTGTAAATTTAGGGTTATGCTGCATTTAAATGTTGAAAAAGCGGCAACTAACGGCACAATGTAAATGTTGCCCTGTTGATAGTGCCACCATAGTGCCTGTCTGGATTAACTTAAATCTTATCCTAAACATGCTTTTAACACACACTAATGTTTCTAATGGTGTGATCATTTAGTGCCTGTACTTTCAAATAAATAAATAAATAAATAAATAAATATTTTAAAGAATTTTAAAGAATTTTTAAACATTTTAAAGAATGGCTTATTCCATCGCAGAAAAAAGCAAAAGGTGGAAAATCCGAAATCTTGGCTAAAAAATGTACTCCTGACAGCTGTGGTACACCACTGCTGTCATGGGGACGATTCTTCTTCACTGCCGTGAAGAAAGAAATGCAGTGTTAGCAGTCTTTCCTGTATTCCTGCCTAAATGGGGAATCAAACACTGATCCGTCACTATCTTACTGCTTTATGGGTTACGTTACTGCTTGAGGTTTCCATTTTGCTAATGAGGCTTAACACATTCATACTACTGAAGCAAGGAGGGGTCGCATGACTCATGGTCTTCAATATGTGTAAAAATATGCATAATGTGAAATTCACAAAATGTTGCATAATCTTCTATCAAAAATCTATGACTAAATAATAAAATTCAATAAATTACTCAGCCCTACTGGAACCAAGTGTTGTGAATCCAACAGAGGCTTGGGAATCCAAACGTTGTGGCTTAAGTGGCAGAGTTACATGTTAGCCCACAAGAAAGAAAAACTACCTACATTATGCAACGGACACTGTTTCCGAGGTGTGTGCCGCTCACTTCCGAACAAATGGCCATCTACTCCAAGGTCCTGCTAACATAATTCAATTTATTCCTCACTTATTGCACATTTGGAACCCATTTACCCGCAACCATGGTCTATTACCTCTGCCCTTCACCAACCACAACTTCCTCTGTTCAGAGAAATAGTAAAAACATACTGGAGCTCCAGTGGAAAGCACCATAATGAAGAGTACAATTCAGTGGCAGGCTATTAACTTCAATATGACACATAATGGGGGGTACCATGCAGTGTTCAGTGTTTCTGCCATTTCCTGTGACCAGCAGTAAACACATTTCTGGTAGTCTTTACAGAACAGCAACATACCTTCTTAGCAACAGAAGAGACATTCATGCCAAAACGCTCGGCTCTCTTCTTTAAGATATCAACATCAACCTGATAGATACAGAGAGCAGTGTGAACAGTTCAGTTTGCAAGAGGATTTTGTAGAATTACACTATATCAGCTGTGCTAAGGTAAACTGCACTACCCAAATTCAATTTAAATTCTATTAGCTTTATCTATACAACACAGTGGTGCTAAATCATTTAAGTAGAGAAACGGAGTGTGCATAATACTTTATTACATATAATTTATGCAAGATATGGAAGCAAACAAAGACGTAAATACATGCTACTCTATACTGGCTACTTTACCACTCTAGACTCACCAACAAGGCTATCTAGAGTGCTAGCATGCTAAGGTCTCTGTTATGTCTACTAAATGCATGTACACTAAAACCAAAATGGACATAGCCAATGTGATTATAGAGTGTAGATGAATGGCTTCTAATTACTGTATTCCAGTTGGACCAATGGCTGCTCTGTTAAGTCCAACAAAGATAAAAAAACAAAAAAAAAAACTACACACCAATAGCTATATTGATACCAATCAAGTATTAATAAGTCCATACTTACGTTTGCTTTCGAAACAGCAGAGGTTCCTGTAAAAACAGAACAGTAGCATTCAAATCAAAAGCATCAGGTCTGTCAAAGTTGGCATGTTAATAATAGACTAGTGCAAAAAATTATTAACTATTAACTTTTCTTTTACAGCGTTAATGCATTTTCCTAGCTTGACCTTTCCAACAACCCGATGTAGTGCAGGCTGAAGCCCAGCTGTAGCGCGCTGTATGTTACTATGATAGAACCTGTGATTGTAACTCTCTTGTTCAAATAAGCCTTTAAAAGGCTTTCAAAAGAATACATTCAACACCTTCAGCAGACTACGCTGGATAGTGCTCACAGAACAACTATGGATAAATCAACCAGCAGCAAACTAACAAAAGCAGCAGTACAGCTGAGCTCCAGTTCCCCTTGAGAGACTCCACTGAAACAGATATCTGCAAACTGTATGAACAAGAGTGAAAGGCTAGAATCACAGAGGAGCTGAACCACTGACTGTATATATAATATATATCATATATACACTCTCACTGGTTGGAACATGCAGACGCTGTTGCTCTCACTGGACTTCAGTGATGACAACTGTAAAATGTGTACACACTGGAAATTACATGAATTTCATGTTCAGTTCATGTGAACTCTTATTGAAATGATAAATGAAAATGTTGAAGTATTAAAAGTATCAAAAGTAATATACTTTTGGATTAAGCTTACTTGTCTGCTCAAAATGCAAAATTCTTTTCAACTGAAAAATTACTGTTCAGCAGCAAATTTGTACAAACAAAACAATCATTTTTTTTAATACACAGTAATAACAGGATTGCCGACTCACCTTTGGAGGACGCTGTTGGTGTTTCTGGCAATCCAAACCTGATAGACAAAAAAAGACCCAAATTTTGTATAAAGAAAGTGCTGAATTTCTTTAAAATGTCAGTACTATGTCACTGTAGTTCATGCAAGATGTCAAATCACGTACAGCATACTAAGCTATCAATGCTGACATTTGCTTTCTTTTCTCTACTGTTAAGTCCAGCAGACTAAATCAGCAGAAAAATGAAGTTTTGATGTGCAGTAGTTTGTGAATAATTTGTCACCTAACGCAGTAGCCATTACATGTAGACACTGCAGTAGTACAAAATGCCTATTTTGTCAAAACATTCTGTAAAATTTAATGCAATCATGCTTGTGTTTAAAAGAAACATCCAGGAAAGGCCTGGTTCTTTATAAGCAAGGGTGGGTTGAGGCTCAATACTTCGCCAAAAACACACTAGCAAAAATTCCACAGTTTAAAAATTATGTTCCTCAGCCAGAGATCGCAAAGATTTTACGTACTTTATCCTCTACAGTTAATAACACCAAAATATTGAAGGAATCCAGAGAAATCTCTGGGCATAAAGAAAAAGGCTGAAAACCACAAATGAATGCCTATGATCTTCGATCCCTCAGATGGCAAAGCATAAAAAAAAGCATGCTTCCGTGACGGACATGTGATACTTTAAAAAACTATTGCCAGTAAACACCATCTGTCGCTGCATCCACAAATGCAAGTTAAGACTGTACTATGCACAGTGGAAGTCAAACGCCAAACAGCGTCCAGAAACACTTCTGACTTCTGTGAGCTCAAGCTCATCTGAAATGTAAGGTTAACACTACATTTCTGCTATTAGAAAATCTTGTATCTGCTTTGAAGCCAGCAGGTGGTGCTACAATTATGTGATCATTACTTCACTGCTGGTTTGTTTTGTATAGTGCACTTGGGAGAACATGGGTTGGACTGCTCCAAATTAACAATAATAAACTGCATGGAAAAATTCACTTGTATCTACTGCAACATCTAGTCCTTACCTTGCAGCTCGTGCAGCCTTCTTGTTGTCTGCACCTGGAGACAGATTAAAGCGTTCTGCCCTTTTCTGCAATCTCTGCAAGAGAAGGGTGAGAACATGAGAGACTATCACATACTAACTTACACAACCATACAAAGAAAGAAAAACAAGATAAACATAAGAAAACCAAGCAAGTAAGACTTCCCTCAGCCTTAGATAGGCCTTGAGGTTACATGATAGGCAATACAATCACAAAAGATCACTCATTTGTCAAATCACAGCTATAAGCTGTATGCTACTAGGCTTTTTCCCAAATGTTTTCCTAATGAAGAACAATGGCAGCAATCTGGGCGCCTTCAATGACGTATGAACTCTGTGTCCAATTCAGGAAACTTTCATACAACATAAAAACAAGCTGAGACTTTTAGTGAAAATGATGAATCAGCCACAGCGCGTTAATTCAAGTGCCAGCCTACCTCATTTACATAAAATAAAATCATGCAGATATTTTGATAGGCAGCCACTAAAACAACAACATTCACCAGTTCGAGAGCCAATGGCTGTGTTTGTAGTGCACTGCTCCCCCTACTGAGCAAACATTATGGTATTAAAATTAGGAGGACTCTGAAGAATAAAACGCAAAAAACAATTTCTTTCTTTAATTCATTAAATTTTAAGAGGGTAAATGATGCGATTGTGTAGGGTGATCATTTTCCTAAAACAACATTTAGATGCTGTTCAGAGGCTACTGCACTACCTGTTTTGTATTGTTTATTTTCTGTCAGTGGTGGAAAACGAAAGCACAGTGCAATGAGTTTTAAAATGGAACATGAAATAGTAGCAGCATTTGTTTATACCAATGTGCATGTAAAACAGGTACATCCCTTTTTGTACTGGATTACTGATATAGATGATATTGATACTTTTGGTTAGTTAACTGCAAATTAACCATTTTTCCTCAGGTTGTTAAAACTATTGATTATACAGTAACGTCAAAGACGAAATTGTAAAACTGTTGGTGAAATTAGCATGGGCTCATTTTGTTTATGCAACCAAGGATAAATGTAGTAAATTTTGGGGTTATGTGTTTGAGGGTGTGTGCTTGGATCCAACTGATATACAAGTCTGTGCTAATATAAGCTGATAGAAAGTATCGACAAAATTTCCACCAATAAGGTCCCACAAATCACTGCCATGCGCTATATTGGCACAACCCTCCGACATAAAAGCCCTCCTCAATTAGGATTTTAATTGGTTTCTTATGCACGTCAATCTTTACAGAAACTGTTAAAGTGACAGTAACCATTTTGTCACTTCTCTGACAGACATACAGGCTAAATTCAGTCCAAACTATTGGAGCAAAATAAAACTAACATTGACATCAGTTTACAGATTTTTTTAGCCATTTAAAATCTGCATCTCTCCCTAACATTTTCATATCAGTTGGGTCTAGGGTTAGGGTTAGAGACACACCTGATTTGACTTGGCTTAGAAATATAAAAAATCCACTCAGGTCTTTAAGAGTGCTAGATTTGTGTAGTATAAGAGCTGTGTGCCTCTGTTTTAGAGACTGAAATGCTTGCATGCTTCGGTCAAAATACCTCATCAACTGATGATGCAAGTGTGATCTTGACAACATTTTTCTTGGGTTCCCTGTGGGGAAAAAATAAATAAATAAATAAAAAAATAGTACAAAGCATACATTAAGTTGGCATGAAGTGAAGGCACAGGAGCCCAACCCTGCTTTAAAACCTGCTAGGTTTATATATGCTTTAACCCCAGTCTAACATACTGGACTCCATTATTCAGACTCTTATTACGACTTTCACAAGAATGGAATGTTATTAGAACAAGACTGCTACCACATTTAACAAGGGAGATTCTGGCACTCTGGTTTATGGTCTATTTAACAGCCTCAACACAGAAAGTGTTGCATAGTGAGTCTGCATGAGACTAGTCAGAGCCACAGCACCCTCTGCTGGACAAAAATTCCATTTCTGCTGCTGTATTCTTGTGAACCCTTTCAGCTACGAATGCACTAAGCTCAATTTCTGTTGTGATCAGAATATAACAAAAAATAAGCACCTTTTGTTTTGAATTTCAAGGTATTGTCTCATAATACTCACGTTACAGGTGCAACGACTGATTGTTCTTCGACTGGTTCTTCAGCTTTCGGGGAAGGCTCCTAAAACACATGTATATTACTGCCAAACTACACCCACATACCATTATAATCAGCTTTTACACACTTGATTCGGCTCATGAAGAGCACAGCAATTATCTGATGAGCTGACGCAAAGAACTTCCAAACCCTGTGTAGAACATGGCGCAAAAGGGTTGATAATTTTATAATACACCATTTAGTCTTATGACACATAGATGAGCCAAAACATATGACCGCCTGCCTAATATGCTCTTGGTGCTCCGCATGATGTCAAAACAGCTCCGAACTGCCAAACTTTGGACTCTACAAGAAAATTGGAATTATTTGTCCTGCTCCAGCCCGCAACTGAAACGTTTGTCCCACTCCCACCTGAGCAGTTCCATCAAGACGAACGGATATCCCATATCTGACTCAGTCTATTCACAAATATGTTGTTCTCTGCTGAAATAACACGGCAGTCATGGTCATCAGGCTCACCAAACGCCATTTATTACCAGTAAACACAAAGCAGGAATTAAACCACAGAACAGGTATTTTTGGCGTTTTGCCGGGCAGCTGTGGCTGTCGGACTGAAGGCTCCGCCGTCTTTGTAAGCTACGAGAATGTGTGTGTTTACGTGAAAGGTTGCTTTAGAATTTAATTGTTTTACTGTCATCATTTTATATTATTTCTATGTATGATTTAGTGATCATTCTGCTTTATTTAGGCTATTCGTTAATTTGCTGAATTTCTCTTCATGTGTGCTTCGTCCTGCTCCCCCACACAGCACTGAAAATTAGTGTATACCGTGGAGTGTATACCTCCATCATGCGGTATCTGGCACTGTAAGTTGTTAGGTAGAGTCGCTGCAGATCAGCCATCTTGTTCCAGAAAATTCCCCAAAGATGCTTGACCAGAAAGAAATCTGGGGAATTGGAAGGCTATTGACTTCTTTTTAATGTTCCTCAACCCTCTCACAAACAACAGCCCACATTTATTAAGCATCTCAAAGTAAATAAACTGATCTAAAGTCAGGTCTCATCAATCTGTGTAGTCCTATAAAGTGTACTGTGAAAGGCATAAACTGATACCAGATCAGTATTCATACTCTGAGAACTCTGATAAATATGGGCAAATGTGAGGGGTGTGGCCAGTTATTATCTTGCCGAAAGAGGCCACAGTCACTGAAGAATACCACTGCCATTAAGGGGTGCACCTGGCCTACAACAACATGCAAGTAGGTGGCACATGTCAAACTGACGTGTACGTGAATTCATGGACTTTCCCAGCAGAACATGGTCCAGAACATCATACTCCCTTGTCTTCTTCCCACAGTGCCATCACTTCCTCAGGTAAAAGGTGCACATATACCCAGCCGCTCACGTAATGCAAAAGAAAACGGGACTCAACGGACCAGATAACCTTCTTCCCTTGCTCCAAGGTCCAGTTCTGATGCTTGCGTGCCCACTGTAGGTACTTTTGGTGGACAGGGGTTAACAAGGGTTCTCTGACCGGCCTGTGGCTACGCAGCCCCATAAACAGCAGGAAGTGATGCATTGGGTGTTGTGACATTTCGCCTGTAACCATCTTTTGAAAAAGTGACTTGTACCACAGCAGCCCTTCTGTCGGTTTCAGTCCAGACCAACAGCCTTCATTGTCCTCGTGCATTGATGAGCTTTAGGAACTCAACACCCAATCGCCACGTTTATTTCTCCTCTGACCACTGTCAGTAGGTTCTCGCCACTGCTGACCGGGAGCATTCCACAAGCCTTGCCATTTCAGAGATGTGCCGATCCAGTCATGTAGACACGATTTGGCCCTTGTCAAAGCTGCTCAGGTCTATGAGAATCACCTGTTCTCTTACCGTCTAGTACAGAGGTCAGCAACCCAAATGTTGAGAAGATCCATTTTGTCCTTTCAACAAAAATCAAACCACTTTGGGAGCCACAACATTTTATATTCATTTTACCATCTTGGCGTAAATATGTCTCAGTATGTGCTGATGTACTAGCATAGACTAAAAATATAATATTAATGAAAACATAGACTTACTTTGCTCTGCTTTAAGGTTTAGCACTAAGACGGTTTTCTCGCATCTCCGACAGGAAACAAGTACAATAGTTTCTTGTAAAATGTCTCTCAACGTTACATTTTTTTTGAGGCTGAAGTCGCTTCTCATTCACCAGCTTCTTGTTCCAATTTTTCCAGTCCACCTACAATGGTGCCTGAGGCGCCAAAATGTAACTGCTGCACCATTTAAGGTGGAACAGGAAAATTCAAACGAGAAGCTGGCAAACGAGAATCTGACTTCAGATTCGCGACGCTGTAGTGTTTTACAGTTTCTTGTTGCAGATTAAAAGTATCAGAAAACCAGCTGGAGTGATTATAAACCCAAACATTCATCTCCAAATCATCAATGTCCATCTTAAATATTTCTCTTTGACTTTTTGCTAGCTACTAGCTAAGCGAGTTTGTTTTCTGCATTTCAGGGTTAAAGGGTGAATTAGCAGTTGTAGGCTACATTAACTCCAGCGTTTTAGACCATTTATTGTTAAAACGGTGTTAGAACGATCAGCAGAGCTATATTTTACTGCAAAGAAGGATTATTTTACTTTTACCTAAAAATCTAATTCTGCTGTGGAGTCGCAACAGGGCAGTAAAATGTTGCTGACCTGTGGTCTAATATATGCCAGACCTTGACATGCAGTTGTTATGAGATAATCATTAAATTGCTTGCACTTAACAAATTACACATTACATTTACATCGCATCTTATTCTGTGAGTTTATTGGTGGGTTTTACTGCAGAGCAGAAATCCAGTCACTGCCTGACTCATGTAGACCCAGAGTTTTCCCATTATCATAATACCGAAGTGCATGTAAACAGGCTGAACAAATTACTGACAAAATCTGATTTTCTGAAGTTATCAGATTATTAAGTGCATATAAACGCATTCACTGTTATTGTCAATGTTTTGGCTCATCAGTATGTACATCAATGTTTCAAACGCTAATATCAATCATTAGTTTAATCACATTAATGAGGTCGTATTATCCTAAGAGATACTGGCAACGGTGTGCTGCGGATGAAGGTACACTCGCTCCAATATAAAAATATGATCACTCAAGGTCATTTGTAAAATGATATTTGTATTTACATTAAAGATGTATTAAAAACATCACTCACCTCTGTGTATTCCTCTAATACTTCCTCCTCTTCATTTGCTTCTTCCTCTGAAAACATTTTTTGTAGTCATTACAAAAAATTTTGAATCCCAGTTGAAAATCGCAATTAAAGCAACAATATAAAGGCAGGCACGGCTGATTTGATCCGACATCCTCGGGGGGGCAGATCCCGTCAACAATAGAATGTTTTCCATACAAATTAGCTTAAAGTGGCATAAGTCTTAGATAAAATAAAAATGCTTTATTCCCACAGTATGGCTTCTGATAAGTTGTATTTTTTTGTTCTGCAGTTTAAACAGCTTTCTGTTTGATCTGTTACATTATTGCAAACTGACAAGAGAAACATGTTAATTCATATTAACAATCTATACTCTGAATAACTACGTGTCAAAATCAGCGTGCCACACACTCAATAAAAAGCAATTCAACGTACAGTAACTAAACGCATGCTGTGAAGCTCTGAAAGACATGACATATGACAAATTTACACCACACGTACCATGTTCTTCTAGGTATTGCTGCAACCGGGCAATCAGATCACCTTTGTTTCCTTTTACCTCCAGCCCTCTCAGTGAACACTCCTGCTTTAGCTCAGCCAACTAAGTAGAGAAGAGACAGAGAGAAATAAAAAAATAAATAAATACAGGAAGAATTTACAGAAAATCAGAACTGACATTCACAGGCAAGTACAAGTGACAGTTTGGCTGCCTTTCAGCTTCAATTTCCATCGTTTTTATCTTGCCACTGAAGACTTTTTAAATAGTGCTGGTTACCAAAATCTAGTACCCAACAAGCAGCTGACAAACAGACACACTGTGCAGCAATACAAGATATTTCCATGTGAGTTTAATGCTTTGGTGATACTAAAATATTGATATTTCACTGTGTCTAGTAACACTGCCAAGGGCATGTGTGGGAATGCTAATATGAAATAAATAAAATGAAATAAATCAATGAATGACATTTTTTAAACCAGCGGTAAACGATTCTTTACCGCAACAGTTTTTCTTTTTATGAAAATTCTTTTCGTAACAGTCAACCATACAGTTAACCAAACTTAAGATTTTTTTGCCCAAATTTACCACTATTTCACTAATATCAACATTACTTACAGTAACTCAAAAGTCATAGGTTCACTGGTCATTTTGGACAAAATAAAATTTTCTGTATATATTTGTGGTGTAGATTTTGTGAGCCTGGTTCCTATAAAGAAATCTGATAAATTTCTCTACAAGGAATAATTTCACATCAAACCACTGTGAATGAAAGACTCTACTTTCTACATGAAAAGTTCGTATACAGAACTTAAAGGGAAACTACACCGATTTTTAAAAGTTTCTGCATAATTAAATGCCGAAGAAACAGAGTCATTCAGAGTGGTTTAGTGTGAAATGCTCCATTCTAGAGAAACCTACTAATTCAGAATCGTTCACAGTGGTGCTGATAGGAACCAGACTTCATTGGTCTAAAATCATCGCATTTCTATCGCTCTACATGTCAGTTACGTTTTCCGCCGACGACTTATTTCATTGGTCTATCCTGTCGCGTTTTTACCTGTGGTAAAACCCGCAGGTGTTGCTGGTGTTTTTGTTTTTTTTTTCTCGATGTTGCTCCATCCTGAATGCCACAACACAGCCTTTATAATCGCTCAAGATTCACGATGTTCACACTCATTTGTCAAAACTCGAAAAGCTTTTTTCACAAGCTGGTAGGCCTTCATCTCAAGTGTACTTATGATAGACGGGTTCCAGTTGAAAACGCTGAACACTTTTAAACACTTTTAAACACTAGAATGCACATATGACAGGTCAAAATAACCCACACAACTGTGTTTTATCAACTAAATCCTGGAATTTCATAATAAAAAACCTTTGTAATTACTTTTTTTTTTTTACATTTAAAAGGATTTGGTATTACTGCCACACATTTCCATAAGTCTAATAAAAATGACTCAATATGCCTAAAAAAACATATAAAAAAAGGTTATACACCCTGATAAGCCACTTTATCAGCCCATTCTACCTTGTTTCTACACTCACTGTCCATTTTATCAGCTCCACTCCAGTTCAGACCAATTAAAACACGACGTGGGAGGAGTTGGATCCAGCCGAACCCCCTGGACTTCAGGTTCTGCAGCGAGGACAATCTCCACGTTTCTCAGAGTCCTTGTTGTTAGAGCTTAGCTCAGGGCTGAAACGTTAAGGTCCCTAACTTTCGTAATTAGATCTTACATAACTTTTATCTGACACAGATGAAAAGGCGAGTTACTTTTACTCACTCATCACAAAAAAAATGTACCTTCTGTAAACAGGAGATAACAGAAAACGAAGCTAGCTTAGCTAAAGCTGGCTTCTTTTGCGAATTATCCTTTAACCTTAAACTGTGCAGCAGTTAACAAATTTCCCGTTCCACCTTAAACAGACGCAGTTACATTATATCACACGTGCTTTTGCCAGATTGGAGCTGAGGCACCATTTAAGGTGGAACGGAAAATTCGAACGGATTGCAACGCAAACAATACGGCCAGGTGGCTACAAACGAGCTAGCTGAGTGAGCTAGCTGAGTCTTAGGACTTTATGTTCCTTCGTGTTTCTCAGTTAACAGCTTTGAGGCCAACAACGTAAAGCATTTTATGAAATAAAATATATTAAATAAGGTCTACAAATGGGCTGTAAAGGCAAGACCGACCGTTAGCTTAGGTTAGCTTTCTTAAGGCAGGTTAGCGTTCAAACAGCCCAGACATTCTTAACGCTCAGTTCACTCCGGAACGTGTTTAAACGCAACAACTATACATGAATTTAAGCGCAAAAAAGGGCGCAAAACCCAGTTTAATGTATTTATTACCTTCAGTTTTTGGAGCTCAACGACTTCAGCCATTTTTGGAAGCTTTTCCGTCTTGAGTGTGTTTCCTTCTGCTGCGGGAAGCTGCGCTACGGAATCAGAACAGTAGCGCCACCCAGAGGCCGTAAATAGAACTCAAGAATTTCTGAAGTAGCGTTAATTTTGAGCTTTTACAAAATATGTATTAAATTCGTATTAAATCAATAAAATGTAGACATTTTACATTTTTTATTGTATTTCATCTGCAAAAGGTCTGCAAAAAAAAGATAATACATTTTCAGTTTTCAGCGTTAATCTTCAAGATGAGCACAGATAATTTTAGCGATTTAAGATTAATTTTAATTTAAACATTAATATCATTCCATAGACAGTGTCCCAAAATGGCTTACATTAACGATCGTATTTATTTACTTATTTGTGCTTGTAATCTGAAATGTGCCAATGTAGAGAAGCAAACTAACATACATACATATGAACCATAAACATAAGTCGTTTTGGGACACTGTCTATGAAATTATATTAATTTATAAATTGAAATTAAAACAATAAATATTTTTCAGTTTTCAGTGTTAATCTTAAAGAAGGATTTTAATATTTAATATTTAATTCCTTAGACAGCGTCCCAAAATGGCTTAACAGTCTTATTTATTTTTAATGAGTTATTTTGCTGCCTTCTGCACAATGACAGCTGGGATAGGCTTCAGCTCCCCCTGCAACCCAGAAGGATAAGCGGTTTAGATGATGTGTGTGTGTGTGTGTGTGTGTGTGTGTGCAAATTATTTTGCTTCTCTGCAGTAGCACAATTCAGCTTCATTAGCTTTTGAGCACAAAGCACTTCAATGACTGCATTTTTTACTCACATCTGAATATTTTTTTCTGCAACGTTAGCCAGACAGCTGTAAACAAAACCATCCACGCTCCAATTTCTTGAAAATTCCAAACCTGAATTTTGTAATCGCTGTTAATTTTTCATAAAACAGGGATATGAAAAAAAAATCTCAAAATAACATTTTCTCACCATTTTGTCCTCAAAATGTAGACTTCTACAAAGACTTATGACTTGTTATTCCAACATATTTAATGTCGTATGCAAAAGTTTGTGTCCCTGGACAAATGACCTGTTTTGTTCATTTTCTAACTGAAAATAGGTTAAGACATCCTCTACAGAGAACTATAATCTATAATTCTAGCCAAACTCATTGGCTTGGTGGCCCAAGTGGTCAGTGCAGTTTTTCATATCTGTCTGCTTCTGATGAGCCATCTTACAAAGTCACTTAGATCTTTTCCTCTTGATCCAAATTCAGGATCTGCTGAACATGCTCAACATCTTTATACATGAGCGAGCATAGTAGGATGTTAACTGCTTAAAAGGCAGATTTATCAACATTTCTGCACAATTCAGTTGTCGAGACGCGACAAAAAACAAATCTGGTGGTATGACGTGAAACACTTAGTTCTAGAGAACCTTAGACTTGGATTTCTTAGTGATAGGAACCAGGGGTCACCATGTCTTCAACCCAAATATAGCCATTTTATTTACTATCCAAATCCACCAGTGAACCTATACGAGTCTTCCGAGTTTTATATGACATGCTGATGATGGTAAAATTGTGACAAATCCAGAAAAAGACAGTTTTCTTCAGGCACTATTTTGCCTTGCAAAGTGCTTCATGTGTTTCTCCACCATGAATGGGTTTAAAAATTGTCAAAAATTGTTAAAAATTGCCAAAATCTTACCACAAAACTACCATAACGCAATATGTCAGACATCAGGCAGCATATTCATAACCACTTATTATAATAACTCTGTGGTGTAGCTCTTAGAGGCATTAAACTCTTCGGATGTCCGGTTCCTATCACCCCCACTCTGAACAATTCTGACTCAGTAAGTTTCTCTAGAACATACATACATACATACATACATCATCTAAACCGCTTATCCTTCTGGGTCACGGTTTCTCTAGAACAAAGCATTTCTAATTATACAGAAGTCCTGTATGAGAACTTTACATGTGGAAAGTAGGGTCTTTCATTCAGAGTGGTTTGATGTGGAACAGTTCATTGTAGAGACATGAATCAGGTTTTGATGTATTAAACACTTTGAAGATTAACCATTTCACTACTCAGAAATTCTGAAAATTTAGTCGCTCATCTGTATATTCTAAGTACAATCACATTTCAAAAAGAGTTGGGACGCTGTGCAAAATGTAAATAAAAACAAAATTCAATGATGTGCAAATTATTTAAACCCTGTATTTCATCGAAAATAGTACAAAGCCAACACATCACATGTTGAAACTGAGAAATTTATTGTTTTTTGAGAAATATTTTCCCATTTTGAATTTGATGCCAACAACACGTTCCAAAAAAAGATGGGATGGGGGCAACAAAAGGCTGGTAAAGTTGTCATGCTAAAAAAAAACAAAAAAACAAAAAACACCTGGTGGTTAATTGGCAACAGGTCAGTAACATGATTGGATATAAAAAGAGCATCTCAGAGAGGCTGAGTCTTTCAGAAGTAAAGATAAGGAGGAGTTCATCACTCTGTGAAAGACTGCATGAACAAATAGTGCAACAATTCAAGAATAGCGTTTCTCAACGTAACACAGACAACCTTTGCTTTCATCATCTACAGTACATTAAAAGATTCATAGAATCTGGAGAAACCTCGGTGTGTAAGGGACAAGGCCAAAAACCAGTATTTGCTGGCCATGATCTCTGGGCCCTCAGGTGGCACTGCATTAAAAACAGACATGATTCTGTAGTGGAAATCACCACGGCCTGTGAACACAGTTTGGCACTGCATCCACAAATGCTAATTAAAACTCTTAAATGCAAAGAAACCATATATAAATAGCATCCAGGAACGCTGCCACCTTCTCTGGGCCCGAGCTCATTTAAAACAGAATGAGGGGAAGTGGATAAGTGTCCTGTGGTCTGACGAATCAACATTTGAAATTCTAAACTGGCCTGCCTGCAGTCCTGTCACCACTGAAAATAAGACTCAGCCTCTCTGGGATGCTATTTTAAACTCATGTTACTGACCTGTTGCCAATCAACCACCAGGTGTTTTAGGAATGACACAACTTTACCACCCTTTTGTTGCCCCATCCCAACTTTTTTTGGAACGTGTTGTTGGCATGAAATTCAAAATGGGCATATATTTTTTGAAAAACAATAAAATTTCAACATTTCATTTGTTGTCTTTGTACTATTTTCAATTAAATATTGGGTTTAAATGATTTGCACATCATTGAATTTTGTTTTTATTTACAGTCCCAACTCTTCTGGAAATGGGATTGTACAAAGGAACTTGTCTAAATTATTTTCCTCAGTAATTGGCTGTACAATACAGATGCAGCAGATAAACATTAGTCTGAAAATCAGTGAAGTTTCCCTTTAAGGACTGAATATTTGTCCACCAATGAAGAAAACTTGTTTTCTTTGTAAAATGCTATATACAGCTTTATTTAAGAAATTTTCTAAGAAACACCCCTGTCGTAAAACAGCTTTTTACCTCCATTTTAATGCACGCTTTGAGCAAGCTTAAATGCTGGTCAGTATGCTGAACATGAGTAAAAACAAGTTTTCAAAATAAGCATTTTTTTAAAACAAATTTATGTATACTTAGCAAACATGGATAAAATTGCCTAACTAGGCATAAAATCACCAATTACAAAAATATTCTGAACTTGAAATCGAAAATGTTTTAGCCGTCCAAAATAAATATTCATATGAATGAAGCTGGTGCATAATAAGATTGTTTAAAGAGATTTTCTTTTTTTAAACACACACAGAGTCAACTAATTCCTGAATATGCAGTTCACCAAGTACTGGAATGTCACCTCTTAGAAAGAACTGGAGAAACGGTCTCATCTGCACAGTATAAAAATACAGCCCTGAGCAGACGTACTTAAGCTGGTAGAAAGGCTTGAATCATTAAGAACTTTCTCCACTGAAAATCAACTTTGGCAAAACTGTTTTCCTTTTTTAAACAGTACCAGAGTCCATGAATGTAGAACTGATAAGCAGTCTCTGGGTTACAGAAAGAAATTCTTCAGGAAAAGGAACACTTGAGTCCTGGTCCGCTGCAGCCTGTGTGAGTCTGTTTATTCTCTTCTTTTCATCTTAGAGCCTCAAAGAAGGCATCGGCATGGTGACGTCACGGAAGAATCGATGAACAAGGGCATTTTTGGCTGAAATTCTCTTGTTGGGGTCATAGTTCAGCATTTGCTGTGAGGAGAGAAAAAAAAGTAATCATTAAGCTTTCGTCTACCAGAACAGTACAGGAACTGCAGAAGTAAGAAAAAATAACACTGAAAAGCAGAGTGGAAATACCCAAGTTATCGTACTTCATTACTACGGATACAGGGCCCATATCATGACTTTTTTTTTTAATTAGGTTTGATGCTCTACTAAACTCTACTAAAGTTTGAATCCATATAAAGACCACTGTACTACAGTTAAAAAACTAAATAAATAAGAATTAAATATTTAGAAACTTAGTCATTTACAAAGATATTATATTATGATCTATATAAACCCAAGGCAATAATGGATATAGTGATAAGCTAACCATATACAAAATTTATAGGGTAATTTCTATTTGGAGATTATTACTGTCACAAAACTCTAACCCCTAAATTTAACAACAACTAATATTTAAATTGTTTTGATTTTTTCCAAAAATCTTTCCTTCTTTACAAGTGAAGATAAAATATGTAGTTATGTATGTAGTAAATATGTTTTTTTAAATAAAAAAAAAAAAAATTAAGTTAGATCCCATTATAAGTAAATGTGTCCTGAAGTCTGAAAATTTGTGAGGAACGTTAAGAATAGTCACTGCCGAAACACATTTTCTGCAATTAGGAAAACTTCATTGTGTTTTAATGAAAATAGTATGATTTCATGTGTGTATAGCTGTTCAGCGGTGTGTTTGCTAGTCACGTTTTGGCTAGCGTTTTTGAGTTCTGGTCAAAATGAGTTGTCACCGCTACTCAGTCACTACTGAAACGTTTGGTAATGTTTCAGCAGTGTTATGATTGTTTTGGTAAAGACAAAATGGAATGTTCAGTCACTTGTTTCAATTCAAAAAACATAATTTAGTTATAGGGTCACTCAAAGGCAAAGGATTTTAGTCTAAAGTCCAAGTCACTTAAAAGTGCAAAATGTGTTTTCTTCTCTGCTCTGAACAGTTTTGGTGGAATGATCCACATAAAAACAAAGCTGCAAAAACAGCTTGTTTTGAATGCAGCGTCCCATGATGAACCAACATTTTCCGGCACAGTCTGGTAATGTCCCTACTCAAACACATCCCACTAAACCTAGCAATTAACAGATGAGTGTAATCAGATACATCACCAAACTGTGCACCCCGTCCTGAAAATATATTTTAAAAAAGTTCATAGTACTAACCTGTCATTAGCCGTTTGAGTGCACATAAGTCTGAATACTGTCGAAATTACTGTTCAATTACTAATAAATACCAAATTTTTTTTCCAAAATTGCAAACTTTCACAAAATGAACAATGAGTAAACAGAAACAAGGCTTGAATCTCTTACCCCAAGAAGGTCTCTGCCATCCTCATCCAGAGGGGGCACAACTTTAGCTAGGTCTTGTAGTGCCCACTTTGGGAAGGAAGGCTTGTAGTCAGGCATGGAGGTCACTCCTGGCCAGACTGACTCATCAGGTGTCCCCAGTGTTCGGAAAATCCGGAAAAGCTGATCAATTTCCGAATCTCCAGGAAACAATGCCCTCCGAGTAATCTGACAACAAACAAGTCAACACAACTATCACTCTCTGGATAATACACGTTTTAATGTCAGCTACACTGTTTATTTTTTTGTGCTGTCAACATTTTTCATAGACAGCATTCACACATAAGCCTATGTAAAGTCTGAGGTTCAACGCAGAATCATTTTAAGAAAAATTCACAACGTATCAAAGAATCGATTATTTTTCCCTGTTTATCACTGTCAGTTCCTCAGTTCACTTCCAAATCCTTTCACCTCAAAGTTACATACACAATTTGGAGCCTTCACACTCTGACATTCAGTACATGAACTGTACAGACACATTCACGCAACATTCCGTGAACGCCTAGTGATCTCTTACCATTTCAGCAAAAATGCATCCCAAACTCCAGATGTCAACAGCTGTGGAATAATATTTACATCCCAGGAGAATCTCTGGAGCTCGGTACCACAAAGTAACAACCTTGAGGTCAAAACAGTACAAATTAGGGGTGTGACAATATGCACTTTAATATTTTTTTCAATACAAAGGTTCTGACACAATATCGCATGTAGTTAGATTTTATGCTATGAAATGTGAGAGACAATGAAATTAACTGGACTGGTTTCTACAGTTCTGTTTATGAGAGCAAGCCTGATATACATACACACACACACACATACACACACATTAGTTCTGGCCACGCTAGCTAATTGGTTGAGAAGCGTTCTGACCGTGCTGTTATTTCGCCATAACATCACATTTTTTTAACAAACACTATCACTCCGCTGAGACACCGTTGCTAAGCAACGACTTTGACAGCTGTAGGAGACGCTCAAACCATTTGAATGTTTTAACTTCTTACTTTGTGCACAAACTGAAAATGGATACTTTAAAGATCACATTTGACCGACAGCCGATTTGGTCAGACTCTGACAATGACACTACACCAAATTCCCAAACTGTCAGTTGGTCTGTGTGGAGCTGGAGAACGAACTGCTGGCTGTGCAGCGAGTGAGCAGAGCTCGTTAAAACATATTAAATGATACGTTCATGGCCCAATTTGTTTACTTCTTACTTTATTTATTTAACTGTTGTATAAAAGCAATAGAACACTCGAGGTCGTGTGTTATCGCGAATAACATTACGGCTGTGATATTTCGCAATAACACAGTCCCTCTCATATGTGTGTGTGTATATATATTTATTTATATAGAATACTGTACTAATCACCTCGTGGGTATAGGTCCGTACTGGCACACCAAAAGCCCTGGCCAGCCCAAAGTCAGCTAGTTTGATCTCTCCTTGAGCATTGATGAGCAGATTCTGAGGTTTAAGATCTCTGTGCAGAACCCGATGAGAGTGACAGAACGCCAGGCCCTGCAGCAGCTGGAACAGATAGCTCTGAGGACACACAAAGGCACATTAATGTTTATACAGAGTGTTGAAACAGCCCACATACAGACAACAGATAATAAAAAGCATGCACTCAATTTTCTGGCCAAAATAAAATGATCTGACCTTTGTCAAACGTTAAAATAAAATAAATGCCTGGTGGCATAAAACACCTTGAATTTAATTTTCTCTTAACATTACCCATAAGTATTTCTTAAGGTTAAGTGTGTTGCACAGAAATGAAATAAAATAAAAATGTGAAATTAAGGGTTTGCTTAAGTGAAATCCTCATGCACCCTTATATTTTCCCCCTCAAGAACTGAATGAAATAATGTTTCTTAATTTCTCTTTTCCTTTAGGCTCCCTTGAGATTATTGGGCGACATGAAGCTGAAGATGTGGCTGTGTTCTGGAGGTGTTGGAAGAGGAGAATGTACACCAACGCAAGTTCTTTGCATATAATTCTTTGCAATAAAAAGTTGAGAGAACTGATATGACCGTTGCTAACAGTATTAAATAGCTGGCAACCAAAAGGTGACTTCAACTGCCACCATTAGACGGTAAATACTGTTTTTTTATACCCATCAAATAAAATGGCTAATCTAATGGATACCTAGGATGGACTCCTACCAAAATACATGTGTCTTGCTTTTATTATGTATATTCCACTATTTGTCACATTATTGCATTTTTAAAATAATTCAGACTCTTAATTGTAGAATAGTAAAGTGAATAATTAAAGGGCTTTTTGCGCCATGAAAGGGTTCTTCAGATTGACTGAGAATGCGCTGTAGATGATGCTACATACAGAACCTTTTCGAAAAGGGTTCTATATAGCACCAAAAAGGTTACAATGTTAGGCTTGTTACGTTAGAAGAACCTTTTCTATATAGAGCCATGAACACCCTTTGAGTGTTCATAGTTCTACATAGAACCATTTTCTTTACTAAAGAATGCTTGAAGAACCATCATATCTAAGTGTGTAGGAGGTAGACCTTCAAGCTGAATCCGCAGTAACGCTGAGAGCATATCTGTGCAAGCCACTCACTTTGACAAGTGGAAGCGTGACTCCAGTGACTGAGGAGTCCATAAACTTCTTGAGGTCTTGGTGAAGAAATTCAAACACCAGGTAAAGCTTATTTTCTGTGTGGATGACATCAAGCAGCCTGAAAAGGTGAAGGCCACATGAGGAGCAGGTCAAGACAGAAACAAAAGGTCACTACATACAGGCATTTCTCCAAAGAGGCAGCATTAATAGGAGGACCTTACACCGATTTTACAAAGTTTCTGCATTATCCAGCGGTTGAGATGTGATTGAAGTTATTCAGAGTGGTTTGACGTGAAACGCTTCACTGTAGAGAAACTGGTGTTTTACAACTCATCCCTATGTTCCAGCCTCCCAGTGTTTAAAAGCGTAACGGTACGGGAAAGACAGTCGTTCCAGTTTCAGCGTAAATGTGTATCCATGGCATTTTAGCCAATCATAAACGGCAAATATATGAAGAGCCTAGCAGCTCCAGTTCTAAACAAAGGAAGCAAAATGTGGACATTTGGCTAATCGACTGCATTTGGGGTAAGTGGAAAATCATGTAACTTTAATTTTTCCCCCAAAGTACTCCTTTAAAAGTTTCAGACGTCTGGTTCCTACCACTACTGCTGATAACAATTCAGACTCTACATTTCACATCAAACCACTCTGAGCAACTTAGTTCACATCTTAATGATTTAATTATTCAGACATTTTGAAAAATCAGTGTAATTCACCTGCAAAGCAGCTGAACTGACTCACTAATTAGAAGGGATGTATGTACACTTTTGGATATATAGTGTGTGTGTGTGTGTGTATATATATATATATACACATATACATATACACACACACACACACACACACACACACACACACACACAGACATAGTACAGGCTAGGCTTTAGAGCAGGTGTGGGCTACAAATGCGTGCTGTTTACAACATACTTGACAATATTAGGGTGATTGAGCTCCTTCAGCAGAGATATTTCTCGAATGGCAGTACTGGGAACACCTTCAGTCTCACTGGAAAACAAACAGTATTAGATATTCATTGATCAGTAAACTCATTACGGTCTAGACAAAACATACATTAGTCTGGCCAAGATTTATAGGTTTTCATAACCTAAAGTTTTAAAACAGAACATTAAAATAAAAAGCCTGGAGACAAGACAGGGGGTGTGGAGTCAATACAATTTAGAGAATATAATTTCAATTGATTATGGTACAGTTATGTTCCCTGACTAAAGGTCTTGTGATGTACCCTCGAGGGCACCACCCCAGTGACAGTTTCATACCTGTTTTTCTGAGAGTGTATGGAGGGAGCTACAGTTGCAGTTTACCTAAAGACTACAGTTGAAGACTAAAGACAGTTGAACAGAGCACAACTTAACACTGTCCAGCTCTCTCAGATAACTTAGTGAACGGCTGCTGCATGATTTGGACTGTTAATCGTCTATTCTGCTGTCCAACAACAAAGTTTAAAATAAGGAAGAATACAACAGATGTACTGATGGTCTAAAGTGATCAAGTCACACTCTTAAAAAAGATGGTTATTCAAAGGTTCTTTAGTAAAGACAATGGGGCTATGTAGGACCATGACCACTCAAAGTATCATTTACATGCTTAAATGGTTCTTTGCATTGTGAAATAGTTTGCCAGATTGACGGACAATGTGCTGTATGTGGTTCTTTGTAGAACCTATTTGAAAATGTTTTATATAGTACCAAAGATGGTTCTTCTATTGTTACAAGCTTGCCATTGTAACAATAGCAGAACTCCTTTTGGTGCTACACAGAATCATAGAACACATTCTCCATCAATCTGAAGCACCATTTCAGCATGCAAAGAACCATTTAAGCAGGCAAACGGTCCTTTGAGTGTTCATGGTTCTACATACAACCAGTCGTTACTATAGAACCCTTGAAGAACCATCCTCGTTAAGGATGTACCTTTAATGAACAACAGTGCCCACTTTATTATTATTATTATTATTATTATCATCTGTTTTAGTGACTACAAAATTAGGAATTTCTAGTGTTCTGTTAAAATAAGCTGTTTAGTGCAACCAAAAGGATGAATTTAAAGTTAAGTGATAAAAGCTCGATTTTAGCCATACGGTAGCATCCATTTGAAACGTTATCAGATTTCCGCTCAGGCAATAAAGCACATGAACTTAATAAAGTGTATTTTTTTAAATATGGACGAAACGTTAAGTATTAAGTTATCAAGTTATCTGTCACACAAAGAGCTGTCCGTCACGGCTTTGTCATGTGTTAAGGTAGTCAGCTAGGTTAGCCAGCTGGCTAATTTATTGCTCTAAGACTACTAAAGTTGACTTCTTGTCCGAACTTTCCGTTCCACCTTAAATGGCGCAGCAGTACCAACGTTAGTGGACCGACAAAAAAAGAATGGTAAACCAACTTGAGCCTCGTTTGCTTTGTTGGCGTTATTTCTTCACAGTTTCGCAGCTGTTTTTATACTTACGAGGCTGAAGCTGGCTTCCTATTCATTTTTCCCGTTCCACCTTAAATGGCGCAGCAGTACCAACGGTTACAGAACGTTAGCTAACGTTAACTGCCGCACCATTTAAGGTGGACCGGCAAATTCGAATGGAAAGCCATCTTCAGTCTCGTTTGCCTTGTTAGTGTTATTTCTCCAGTTTTCGCAGCTGTTTTTATACTTAAGAGGCTGAAGCTGACTGCCTTGTCGAATTTTCCCGTTCCACCTTAAATGGTGCATCAGTTACATTTTGGCGCCTCAGGTGCCAGAAAACAACTGCTGCAGCATTTAAGGTGGAACGGGAAATTTCAAACAAGCAGCTGGCGATTAAGAAGCTGACCTCAGCTTTGTCCTTTACTTACGTGTCGAGTCTGATTTTCTTGAGGGCCACAGTCTCTCCGGTGATTCTGTTTTTCGCTTTGTACACCACTCCGTACGTGCCCTCTCCGATCTTTTCGACTTTTTGAAAGGACTCCATGTCAGACATACGGGTAACGTTCACTTAACCCCCCTTTTTTTTCCGGGGAACACAGATTCCTCCTCGGCGCCCGCCGGCGGCTAAAACTTTGCTCAAACTAAGTTAGCTGCGGCTAGACAGCTTAAACAAAGCAGAAAACATTCACACAGAGTGAGATGTTCGGTGTCAGGGAGCGGGTCAGGCTAAAACATGATGTTTCGTCCAGCTAAAAGCACGCCGGCTAAGCTGAGGAGGAGAGCTGAATGAACACCCGCCAGTTCCCGCCTTCACTAAAACACGCCCTCAAAACAAAGCGGTGCCCTTCCGTCTTCTTTCTCTCCGGTTTTGTTGCTCCTCCGAACAAAATAACCATTTATATCGCCACCAACCGGGCTTTAAGGGGAACTCCACCGATTCTTTTTCTCCCAAATTTCAGTCATTACCTCCACCGATTCCTCAAAATGAAATGGTGAGCATGTAAACAATGTTCATTCAGAGTGGTTTGAGGTGAAATTCCCCGTTCTAAGGAAAGTTACTGGGTCATAATTGTTCACAGTGGTGGTGATAGGAACCAGACGTCCACCTGTAAAAGCTACCTCACAGAAAGATAATACGCAAACTGGATATGATAGTCTGCTTGATACCTGAGACATTGTTTTAGGATACTTTTGTGATAAAGTTTGGCCAAAAAAGCATCTTGTTAAACCATCTATTTTAACCTATTCATGGTGGAGGGGTACACCAGGGGTGTTGCGAGGCAAAATAGTCCCCAAAGAAAACTTATTTTTTTCAGATTCAGCACTATTTTACCCACTATTTTTTCATCATTCCATATAAAAACTCAGAAGACAGTGGTTCACTGGTGGTTTTGGATAGTAAATGAAATGGCTATATTTGTGTTGTAGTCATGGTGACCCCTGGTTCCTATCACCACCGCTGTAAAATAAATTTTCTCTACAATCAGTCATTTCACACCAAACCACTCTGAACGATTCTGTTTACATCAGTGGAATTTCAACTAACTCAATTAAGTCATTTAGAGCGATTTGGTGTGAAATGTAGAGAAACTCACTAACTCAGGTTCCTTTACAGTGGTGGTGATGGGAACCAGGGGTCACCATATCTACAACATAAATATAGCCATTTTATTTACTATGCAAAACCACCAGTGAACCTACACGTATCAGTTTTTATAAGTAATGTTGTTCATGTAAAATATGAAAAAAAAAATTGTTTTTGAAGACTATTTTACCTTATAACACCTTGCATGTACTTCGCCACCACAAATAAAAAATGCATTTTGAGCCGAAACCTTGTTAAATAATGTTTTACATCATAAAAGACATCAGACATCAGGCAGTGTTTATTTATAACCATTTTATGTAATAACTTTCTGTAAGGGAGCTTTTAGAGGTGGACGTCTGGTTCCTATCAGCACCACTGTAAACAATTCTGACTCGGTAAGTTTCTCTAGAAGAGACCATTTCACACCAAACCACTCTGAATGACTTTGTTTGCATCTTCACTGTGTATTTTTGCACCAAGTTTGAAAAGTCAGAGGACTTTCCCTTTTAAATGCAAGGGATGGTCAGATGAAAACAGTGCCATAAATGAGACAAAAATCAAGTGTTTTTCAAGCTTAAATGCATTAATTCAAAGCTCATCATTAACATGGTATGTGTGTTTTTCACAATAACACTACAAATATCACTTTAACACGAAACGATCATTAAAATCAAGTAAACTATACAAAGCAATACTACTATACAACCAAGACAAATGTAAAATAAGTTCATTTATCTTTGGCCTTCTCCCCTCATACCAACAGACGTATCCATAAAATTAATGTACTGAATGCACCAATAAAGAGTAAACAACATTATCAGACCCTGCATTTATTGCGATGGACATCATGTGTTTTCTTCTTTTTTATGTTTTGTTTCACATAACACCAACTGAGGAGACCTGTTGTCCATCAGAATAGACCTTTACCAGCCAATCAAACAGCAGCTTAGCCCCACCCACAGCACTGGAAAAAAAATCAGCACACTGAAGTGAGGCATGGCAGCACTCCAGCCAGGGAGGCAGAGTAAAGGGCTCATTTTAATCTAATTTTATCAGATTTAAAGCACTTTTTTATCATGTTATGAGTTTATTTTACTGTGTAGGAATAGATTGTGAAATAAAAAGTTAAATATCAAGATTTTTAATAAATCTTATTGTCCATTACAGTGGACAGTGGGTCACGAGGTATATTGTTCAGGTTAGTTTTTAAGTGCTGCTGCTAAAATTTTACTTGGCTAGTGATGATGAGAATGAAGATGTAGACAGTGCAAGACCCTCAAGTGCAGTTGAGTTTAACTATCTGTGAAAGTTTATTACTGTATAGTAAAGTTTGTTCTTAAAAAAACATCCATAAAAAATAAATCTATAGATATATTTTGTTATTGATTCCAGGAGATGTCAGGGATGAGGAGGCACCACTGATGGGGCAAGAAGTTGTTGTTGAGACAGTACATGGACCACATGCCAAGTTACAATGATTGTAAAGAAGCAACCAGGTATACATTTCCACAGTGCACTGGGAAAACACTGCGTACTGTGAAAAGAGCAAGGTCCACTACTGCTTTGTTCCACAACAAAACTGCTTAAAAGCAGCCCATAGACAATGACTGGAGCTACTGTTCAAAATGCACTTCATAAAAGTAAAGTTTAGCGTATTATATATATATAGATACACCAATCAGGCATAACATTATGACCACCTCCTTGTTTCTATGCTCATTGTCCATTTTATCAGCCCCACTTACTATATAGGTGCACCTTGTAGTTCTACAATTACAGACTGTAGTCCATCTGTTTCTCTGCATACTTTGTTAGCCCCCTTTTACCCTCTTCTTCAGTGGTCAGGACCCCCATGGACCCTCGCAGAGCAGGTATTATTTGGGTGGTGGATCATTGTCAGCACTGCAGTAACACTGACATGGTGGTGGTGTGTTAGTGTGTGTTGTGCTGGTATGAGTGGATCAGACACAGCAGTGCTGCTGGAATTTTCAAACACTGTGTCCACTCACTGTCCACTTTATTAGACACTCCTACCTTGTCAGTCCACCTTGTAGATGTAAAGTCAGAGACAATAGCTCATCTGCTGCTGCACAGTTTGTGCTGGTCATAAAAAATGTTATATATATATATAATGTATTATTTTACTGAGTCTTGTTTTTGAGTGCATTACAGACAGAAATCAGCATTCTTATATTTTTTCCATAACTGGAACATAATTCAGGTCTGGAAGGGTTAAGCCTTCAGAGGAGCCGAGTTCAAACGCTGGTAAGTTTTGCTTTTATTGAACTTTGATTATTTGTTATCAAGCATAACATGTTCACTTTGTCACAGAATAGATATTCTAGTTATAAATTTTTTAATTGAAATACTTGCAAACTGATATTCACAGTAAAGTCATTTAATTAAATATTGAAAACTGGTGTTGGCAGGTCTAACCTTGATAACAGGGAGTGTGGCGCGCTAGTTTAGCAGGATGTTCCACTCTATATATTCCCGCATGGTGTTTTCCTTTCTTTGGCATGAATACAAAATAAAAGTCCCTTTTATTTAGATTCCTTTGAGAAACTGAATGTTTTATGTGTAACATGATACACTTTTATCTGATCACATATCCTCCTATTACAGTCTGTGCTTCTTTTTTCCTGCATCTTTCACATGGCTAGGCTTGGCTTCCGAACATTTCTCAAATTCTGTATTACTCAAAACTACATCTAGAAAAATATATAAACAGAATCTATGAAAAATAACCATTTGTTTTCCATAATGAAACCAGCTGCTTTGGGTTTTATATGAATTGATAAAATGAAAACATATCATTAAATATAATAATAATTGCTGCTTTGTTGCAACTGCATGCAACAACAGAACTGGCTAAATTTCTTTAGGCTGAATGTCAATATGTTCAATGGTTGTCACATCACAACCATTATGAACTGGTCTGTCTGAAATGAAGAATAAAGGGTGCATTTTAAACTTTAAAAATTAGGACTATTTCAATAAAAAATAAGTAAAATGTGTTTTTCTATGATATGCCCTTTCTTTAAAGTCCCCTTTATTACTTTATAAGACTCATTTTAAGGGGCTCATTTCCTACATTTTTCTTGTATTTTATTTCTCTCCTTGATGTCCACTTACAACATTTTCCAGTCTTGCTTTATCCCTTACAATTAAACAGGCTGTTTTTTGTTACTGTGTCTTTAAGAAAGGTAAATGTAAATGAGCTCTGTGCTGATTGGCTGAACTGTACTGTGCCTTATTCAAAAAGCAGCCCAGGCTAAAAGACTCCTAATAACTTCAGCTTGAGTGAGCACTCACTGTAAATGCTTTTTTTGCAGCTTAGATTCCACATGTGGACTGTATGGACAGTGTTTACATACTACGTCAAACTTTTTTATTGCAAAAAAATGTTTTTCCATGTTATGAGCCCTTTAAGGACATGAATCCACTCAAGCAACACTTAAAAATACATATTTGACCCCCATAATCCACAGTTTGGAGAAAAAGGTAAGCATAAAGATTATAATTAGTATAATTACATGTGCCTCCACCCATACTGTGTACATCTTACAGTGTCTATATGGCTTAGCCCTCGGCCTTTCAGGGTCCCTAAGACAACATATAGCCAAATATGAAAGTATTATTAAGTGAAAGGAGGGAATTTATCTGGCAGATTTGGGTTTTAATGACTGCGACCATAAAGACAGAGTGTGTTGGCATGCTTGCTATTAATGAACAGTAGGAGAACATGAGGGTGACTTCAATCAGAAACAGAAGAGAGTCCAATATAGTATTTATTCCACAGCTTTCAGTGTGATATTGTCCAGACACATTAAGCAGAATACACATTATTTTTAACAGATATTAACTTCTACATCATGATCAGCCAGCAAAGAGTGTGTTAATTATACATAACCTGTGTCAGTTTAGAAGTTATTTACCTACAACAAAGAAAAGCTGTATAATGTCAATTCTAAGGTAGTGTAATAAGTAACACTGGTTGACATACAGTTGCATTCATTCGTTTATTTCAAGACAGCATCAATACATTAGAGAGAAGTCGTGCGTTCTGTACAATTCTTTATGTGTTTTGGTTCATTGTTTTTATGAAATATGAGGTTATTTTCCCAAACGTAAACCTGAATGATTTAATTTATTTAAATGTAAATATACTTTCAGGAACGTTTTCCAATTTAAGTGCCCACATTCTCATTACCAAGAAAAACTTTGCTCTTTATAATGTGTATACTGTTGTCTGACTAAGTATTTTAAGGAAGCTAATTATTAAAACTAATCGTTAAATCTAAGTATCAAAATATAGAATTTGGCAATTTTATCTAATAAAAAAGGCAAAAAATAAATGATAAACATTGGTAATGAGTTGTAACAGATATGTTGGTTATGAAATTGGGATAAAATATTGCCCAAAAAAGTAATAAATTAACTTTGCTGTACCATATAGATCTCAGAGGGCACAGATACAAGGAGGTGGATTTAATGAAGTGGCTGGTTGGTGTATATATATGTGTGTGTATAGTAAAAGTACAGCCTTTGGTGTCGTTTGTTCCTTGAGTGCAGTGGCTGTATTAACGATGCTTTGTGAAAGTGTGCTTTAGTGATGTTCACACCACTCTTCCCTGAAGCAGCGGGCGGCTTTCGCCAGTCGACTGTCGGCTCAGTAGATTCCACAGCAGCAACGGCACAGATGTCCATCCAGAGCTTCCCAAACTGCTGCCTGAGTCCTCGTTCAGGGGGTGATACTGCTTAAACCGCCTGGTGAAAGTACACATCAAGGGTTAGAAATATGGAGATTCTGTGACAGATCCTGTTAGAGGAATGTTCCAGTGTTTTTTGAGCTGATGTCTGTTTGTAGAATCTGTATCGTTCTATCAATGAACATCACTTTGTCAAGTTTCCTGAAACCCTGTAACCCTGAAAACCTGTTGGATCAAAACTTATAATAGTAGTCAGTGGGCAGATGCTGAATAAAATAAATGAACATTTTTTATATGTTATAATATAATGCAGATTAAAAACAAAAAAGCCAGATGGTTTCCGAGTGGCACAACAATTTACGGGGAAGATTTACTAACTTTTTAAACTCATGCAAACTCTGTTTTGTTGTTGTATACCAAACCGGCCACTTCATTAAGTACATTTCGGTGTTTCTACACTCTTTGTCCATTTTATCAGTTCCACTAACCATACAGGAGAACTTTGTAGTTCTACAGTTACAGACTGTAGTCCGTCTGTTTCTCTGCATACTTTGCTAGCCCCATTCACAACACTAAAACAGAGTTTGCATAAGTGCTTTATAAGCCTTTGATAGCTGACACAACAGAATTAGCCATTATCATTCTCTTCCAAGCATGTGGAGCTTCAAATGGCACTGAGTTAGTAGTAGACTTAAAAGATAGTGGAGTTTGAAGTGTCTCTGAGGTAGCACATGGTCACCTTCATCATGTGATAGCAGGAAATCTAACTAGCAATGACTAAATTGGGGAGAAATATTGGGTAAAAAAGGAGACAGACTGAGAGAAAGTTTTACTAAAGTGCTATTTATGATGTTTTATTCAACTTTAGTTTTCTAGTATCCACACATGATCAGAGAGGAGACTAACTCCACCCACACCTCTGCACTGATAAGTAATCACAGATTCTTCAGCCTGGAAAACCAGTCCCATATCTCAAAGAAGCACTTATACAGATTTACAGCTTCATTTATAAAACCCTTTGACCTTTGCACAAATATTTACTGACAGAATTTTTAACAGCACCTGCTTATTGGCTTCTATAATGATTGTATGTCACGTCAACAAGTTTTTAGTTATTTTCCAAGTACAGGAAAACATATTTATTTGTGGTAACTGACCATTTGCTACAAATCCAACATATAGAAATTAGGATGAAAAATGCTGGATTATTCTTTTAAAGCAGCCACAACAGGCACAGAATCTGCACAGCATGTGTTTAAACTATTGATGATGAAGGTAGTTCATTTTACATTTCATATTAATACATGACTAATAATATCATCACATTTATACAGCCCAAAGTCACTTACAGATTACAAATATTAAAGCTGATGAACTAACCTGTATGTCAAAGCAATACCACCTACAGCACAGACAAGCACAAGTACGCCAAGTACTGCAGTAGCAGTGCCTCCTGCAGTGGAAGGTGTACCTACATAGAATAGAATAGAACAGAATAGAATATATGCATGTTTATAAAATTTGGCTAAAACTGGAACAATGGCTAAGTACAAATCAATCAATCAATCAATTAATTAGTTAATTAAAATAATGAACCCCTTAAATACCACAGTTTATTCTAGCTATATAGCAATAAGGAATGGAAAGAGTTCAAATGAAGTAATATATAATAAAATACATTGTTGGTGATAAAATTAAACAAGTAAATGAAGTCCAAGTCTGTGGAACATACCAGCTAAAAATACTGCTAGTTATTTTATCCATTCCAGCAAGCCTATTCACAGCCTCAGATATTTTCACATTAGAGTGGCCCTTACCTACGGTCACGCTGACCCGTGCACTGGTCACAGCAAAACTGACATCATTGGTGAGGGACACATTAATGCAGAAAGTTCCAGAGTCGTTGAAGAACTGGCGAAGGACCATCTGACACTCAGTGGTTGGAGTGACGGAGTTGCACACAGTCTGTACAGGGCTGGCACAGTCTGCGTCAGACACCACAGTGCACACCTCGTTCGGCAGACTGAAGAGAGAAAGCAGAATTTATTCCTTTACCCAAAACAGACCCCAAAGAAAACCGAATGAATTTGTTTACATCTTGATCACTGATTTATGAAGAAATTTTGAAAAATCGGTGGAATTCCCTTTTTAATGCAGGGCAGGTGAGTATATTACTGACCTTCCTTGGCAGGTGATGGTGAGGTCCACAGCATTCTGCTCTACTTCTGTGGCCAGAACCGCCACATTGTTTACGTCCACAATCTCCACACTCTCAATTCCCTCTGAGGAAGAAACCACAGGAAATATACATTGAAATATACATTAATACATCTCATCAAATAAATGTAATAATATAAAGTATGTAAGATTACGTTTTTTTAATCATTGTCATTTAGATCAAAGTAAATGTACTTTAGTGATCCCAAAGGGAAAATGTGGATACAATAGGAGCTTGAAGAATGCAGACCATTGTGAGTAGTTTATCAGGTTTTATCATTTTACCACCTAAAAGAGTACACAGTTCTTATGTTACATTAAATTTCGGGGTCATTTCTGAAGGTTTCTACAAAAACGGCTTGTATTCAGCCTTAATACTGCCTTGGTGGGTGTTATAGAGCTTTGTGCTGTGCACTGCTGCAAGTCACCTGGTAAAGCCTAAAATAATAATTTGAACGCCATAGGTGAAGGTTTTTATTTTGTAGGGGGGGTTTTCAAACCACAAAATGTTTGTTGGGTGTAATTACATATTTCAACCAGAGAGGTCTCCAAATCCCCAAAACGTACTTATTGTAGTTTGAAGAAAGTTTTTATGTTAACATGCATTTAACAGACTATCTTAGGCTGGCAGTATTATTTAAATGACAAAAGAACTAAACAAAAACGAACTCCCCACCCGAATACCCTGTCATTTCACTGCTACACTCTTAAAAAAGATGGTTCTTCAGGGGCTGTTTAGTTAAGAAAAAGGTTCTATATAAAACCTTTTTGAAAAGGGTTCCGTATAGCACTAAAAAGGTTCTTCTATTGTTACGATGTCAAACTTGACACAAAAGAAGAACCCTCTGTGGTGCTATGTAAAACCATTTTCAAAAAGGTTCTATATAGAACCATTCACAGCACATTCTCCATCAATGTGAAGAATGCTTTTATGATGCAGTGCACACCGCAAAAACACAAGGTGTTTTGGCCAAAAAGACATCGTTTTGCTTCAAAACGTCATTTCCGTTTGAAGTACACTGCCAGCTTATCTAGAACTTACAACGATGTTCCAGTGGTAGGTAAAGCATGAGGAGTCTTGCCCAAGGACTCTTATTAGTGTAGCATGGTGTGCTTGCTCAACCTCCTGAAAAGCTACTATTAAGAAGATATGAGTTTTTGTTCTGACAACAACGATATATATACTTTGACAGAGATGGCACTCACGAACTACATCCAAAGTGGTGGAGAAAGAGCCGTAGCGGTAAATCATGCAGTTTCCCTCTGCTGGCATTTCTGGAGCCTGCCGTTTTAGCGATGACCAGAGCGACCTGTGGTGCTTCTGTGCCTGCCTCCACTTCAGCTACTATCTCGTTCTGTGTGGTTGGAGGTAGAGTGGCTGCAGCTGCAACTAGATAAACAAGACAAAAGTCAGTAGAGAACCAAAAAATAAATAGTAAAAACGTAATTTACATGCCAGATGTATTGAAAGCTTATGATAAACCAGTTAGCATGTTGCCAACTGCATGCCGAATTCAAACCATGTCAAATTGTTCAGTAATGTTAAGAAGCCTTGCTTAGATGGTTTCTGTTACTGACTAACTGTTCTCCTTAATCATGGGCAAAAAGTATGTAGCATCCCTGCTAGAAAAACCATCATAGACTAGCATGGCTGGTCACAAACAAAAACCATATGTTATGCTTTGGATGCTGATATGCTGGTCAACCAGCATGACCATGCTGGGTGGCCAGCTAAACCAGCTCTAGACCAGCACTAGACCTGCAAAAACCAACATAAACCAGATTAGATTGTGCTGTTTTTTTTCAGCAGGGATAGCTAAAAACAGTAGTCGCCATCTTGAAGCTATAACTTTGTCCTCACTTTTGCCCATGTTTGTGGGTAACTCTATGTTGTAAAGCCCATGCGTCAAACACAAGGCCCATGGGCTAAGTCAGGCCTGTGGCACAGTCCTATTCGGCCTGCAAATTATTTTAATCTTCTGTTAATATTAGCCCATTTTTACCATGAGCTGCACTACAGTTCCCAGCATGCACTGCATGGTGTCTAGTTCATGCAAATGGGCATGAGAAAGCGTGTAGTGTTTAATTGAATAAAGATCACTGTAATCACAGATGTTGAAAGTATTTTGTAATTGTAGCAGTACAGTTTTTTGTCATGCTCCAACCTATCAAACCTCTAAAAACCAAAAACAGTGATACATACCGTGTATTGTGAAAATCAAGTGACACTATATTTTTGCCATATGCCCCCCCCCACCCCCCGCCCCAATTAAAGACATGATTCAGTTTGTACAATGCTTTTTTTTGGGTGGAAGCTTTCATGACTGTTAGCATTATTATTATTATTGTAGCTCCAGTGCAAAACGAAAAAAATTCTACAGACTGCTACAGGCACCAACCATGTCTTGGCTGATCAGCCACATTTGAAGCAAAAAGAAAATTTGTGTAATTTCTTTAATAAATCAGCACAAAAGGCTCACCTGCAGCTTCACTTGCAGCAATTTCTGCTTCATCCAGTGCAGCTTCATTTACTGTTTCCACAACTTCACCCTCAACTGGCACCACCGATGGCACCACCTGAACAACTGCAGCATCTGTGGCAACATTGGTAACAACCACATCTGCAGCAGGTGCTACTGTGTCTACCTCAGTATCTTCAGCAGCTGCTGGGACCTCTACAGCTGTATTGTCCACGGCACCTTCTGCTGTGTCCACAACTGGAGCTTCTGGAAGGACTGTGCCCTCCTCTGCTTCCCCAGCAGGAGCAAGTGAGGCAGCAGCATCGATTACCACAAGGCCATCTGCTGCCTGTTCTGCACCTGCGGTGGCAACTGTGGCTGTTTCGCCAGCGGCAGCATCATCAGCAGCCACAGCGGCTGGATCTTCAGCAACCACGGCCACTTCCTGAGCAGCGGTATCTGCTTCTGCTTCTGCTGTGGCCACAGCTAAGTCATTGGCTACCACTGGATCAGCTGAAGCTGCTACTCCTTCTTCTACTGCAGGTGCAACAGGCTCAGGGGAGGCAGCCAAAGCGATATTATCAGCAGGTGGAACCTCAGAGGCAGGAACCGCTAGAGCAATATCAGACTGCTCAGTGGGGGCAAGAACTGGTGGATTTATCGAGGCTACCGCCACTGCTTCTGCAGGGCCAACAGACGGATCAATGACTGGACCTCCTGTGAAAAAAAGCAATGGGAGTAGTTGTAGAGATGCTATTTATGAGCTGAATGTATTTTATCTCTAGCAAATGGATTCTGTGGTACCAATGCTAGCCATCCTTGCTGGCCAGCATAGGCCAGCATATGTGTTTTGGATGCTGGTATGTTGGTCAGCAGTGATGGAGGTTAGTATGCTGATCACCACCAAAACCAGCACATTGCTGCTGTCAGAACAAAACTCTGTATCTCCAAAATAACAACTTTACAGGAGAAGGAAAAAACGTCATTTACTTTTAATATAAATCAGTGGAACCACACATTTTCCTTTGCTCCATTCATCATGAAATTTACACACAAGGTTTTGTTCCGACAGCAGCATATGTTGTGTTTTGGTTGCTAGCATGCAACCAAACCTTCCAAACTGGAATGGAATTCATGCTGGTCTAAAGCCCTGCTCTACCTGGGTTAGTTTTCCCTGGGGAGGTACTGTAATTTGGGTCACACTTTATTTGGATGGTCCCCTACAGATGATTTGCAAATACTTATATTATTAACAAACTTGTTGGCGATTATCAGCAACATTAAGGTTAGGGTTAGGTTTAGGAGTAGGTGTAGGTTTTGCCTTGAGGTTAGGGTTAGGGTTAGGTTTAGGGTTAGGGAATGATTTAATAGAATCTTTCACACACAACTTCAAGTTCAGCTGCATTTAAGAAGTGTTCTGTTGAATGTTGGTTAAAGATAGACTGAGCATCTACAAAGCATCTACAGTGGACCATCCAGATAAAGCGTTATCATAATTTGAACGATTTCAGAAGAGATTTTAATCCAGTACGAATCTGCCATATTAATTTTTTTTCCATTACTTGTCAGCTACATTTGCCTCATAGCTCCAGTGCGAAACTAAAGAAACAAACTTCAGACACTAAACCTGGCTTGGCTGATGCATTTGGGCTCAACGGGAAACTGTACATTTGGTTTAATTCCTTTAAACTCACCTGTGGTGACCACACCAGGAGGTGCTGGAGGAAGGGTGGGGTTTGGGTCACATCCATTTGGGATGGCAGCCATCAAAACCACCTGTGGTCTGAAAGAGCCTGCTGAAAGGTAAGTGTGGCTAACAGACGGTTCCCGAGAGATCAGGGTTCCACTGTTGTCCCCGAAGTCCCAGTTGAAGGTGAGGTCAGAGCCGCTGAGATACTGGCTGGGGTCATGGAGGCTGATGCTAAACAACACGGGTCGATTCTGGATGAAGCTCTGATCGGCCTGGTTAACGTCACCGATCTGGGACAGAGTCACTGCAAAGGGGATTTGATCTGAAGAAGGAAAGAAGAACTGATCAGTTACTGGTGCTTTCAAAGACTCTGAAAGGTTACATTACTGAAATGCCTGATAATCAGACTACATGATATGTCCAAAAGTTTGTAGACACCACAATTTCTTCTGAAATGAAGAGTCCAGTAACAGTCTTTAATCTTCTGGGAAGGCTTTACACTAGATGTGGGAACACTGCTGTAAGGATTTGATTGCATTCAGATACTGGTGTTGGATGATCAGTTCTGGACACTCCAGTTCATCCCAGGGTATTGGATGGAGCTCAATCCTCCAGAGAATGCAGTTCCACTGCTCCACAGCCCAATGCTGAGGGGCTTTCTACCCCTCTAGCCCACGCTTGCCAATGATCATGGTGACCTTACGCTCATGTGCAGCTGCTCCAGAGCTCCATTCTATTGGTCAATGCTTTTCTATGGAGATTATCCATTCTATCGGTCTATGCTTTTCTATGGAGATTATACAAGCTGTGAGCATAAAGTAGGTGAATTCCCTAATTAGTAGGGCTGTCTAGATACTTTTGGACCTATTGTGTAACATCATACATTGTTCATCTTTTCAGCATACGCACCTGTGATAGAAAACTGCGTGGATGCGTATCCAAGAGGAATGAACTTGTCTTTTCCACGGCAGTGGTAGATCACCAACTCCATGTTATAGGAACCCAGGGGCACATTATCTGTGCCAATAGACAGTGAAGAGGAGGGGCCACCAGCTACCTGCCAATAACGACCTACAAGAGCAGAAAAAGAAGAAGTAAAATGTCTAAAATGCAGCAGCGGCTCCATATCTCTATTTATGAATGGCCAATGATGTTTAGCAGCAGTTAAATGCAAGCTGTGCTAATATTGTTCCAGCTACTAAATTGACTTTTACTAAATTGATTTGCTGTTTAAAATGATGCACGCTTTATTTAAAGAACAACAGTTAGTTTCAACATAATTTCATTATAACAGTATAATGCATTATATATATATATATATAATATATATATATATATATATATTATATATAATATAATTACTATGTAATTGTGTAATTATGTTTTAATAACTGTGATGTAGTATAAACTGTAAATATGTAACCTGTGAAGCTTCTCTTACCCCAAGTTTTCCACACGTAGATGTACCGTGGCTTTCTGGTGGACGTTGTAATGAAGGGCGTTCCATCAGGAAACACACCGGTCCATTCCTGAGGAGTGTCAAGTTCTGGGTACACCGGCTGACCTTCAACATACTGCGTCCCTAAAAGCAAACATAAATTTATATACATTTATATATATATGTATGTTTGCATATGTACATACATGCCTTTGGTTTAAATAGATCATAAGATAATTCTTGTAAATGTATAAGGTATGTATATAAGTGTGTGTGTGTGTGTGTGTGTGTGTGTGTATATGTAAATATGCATTAATAGAGATAGAAATATATACATAATCATCATTTATAGGGTACTTTCTATTTCCCTAACCCCTAAATTTACACTTTTTTTCTAAAGATCTTTTTGATTTCGTTCAAAGTGAGATAAAAAATTGATTGACGTGATAATTTTTGAATTATCATAAATTCAATTAATGCCGTTCCACGTTTTCATGCCTCTACCGAAATACAGTCTTTTAGTCTGTAAGCAGAGCCTTACTTTAGTCACGCCCCTGCATTTAAGAGCAGGAAGTGAGACTGCATCCCTGTCTCTAATGGCCACATGGTGAGCAGTTAGATCCCACTGTTTTAAAGTTAATGTGTCCCAAAGTCTGAAAATCAGTGTGGAACATTAGGAACTGTCACTACTGAAACATATGTTTTCTTTAATTAAGTACAATTTTTTGGTTGCTGTTCAAAGCTGTGCTTGTTGGTCATGTACTGCCTGCATTTTTGAGTTCTGCTCAAAATGAGCTAAAACTGTCACTACCGAAACAGTCACTACTGAGACATTTGGTAAAGTTTGGGAAGTGTTATGATTGTTTTGGTAGTGACAAAATAGAATGTTCGATCATTTGTTTCAATAAAATAAACATGATTAAGGTTTAGGGTCACTCAAAGCAAAATGATTTTAGTCTCATTATTACTTTGTTAATTGTATGATTTATAATGTTATTGTTCTCCCTACATTTACATATCAGATACGCAAGGGTGTATGTAAGGGTGTATTTGTGTTCTCGGTACTGACCGTTAACAGTGCAGTTCCTTGTCCACACCACCTGCCCATCAGGCAGCACAGTCTGGTTCTGGGGAGGACGAACATCAATGTTGAAGGTGGCCTTGGAGCCCGTCAGGGTGGGGCCATCGTTCCTGATGGCAAATGTCACTTCTCCACCTGAAACAACAGAAATATTGTGAATTTTGGAATATGGTTCAATTTTTGGAATATGGTTCAATTTTTGGAATATGGAATTTTGCAATATGGTTCCATTTTTTGAATATGGAATTTTGGAATGTAGTTCAATTTTTTTAGAATATGGAATTTTGGAATATGATTACATTTTTGGAATATGGAATTTTTGAATATGGTCAAATTTTTGGAATATGGAATTTTGGAATATGGTTCAATTTTTTGGATATGGAATTTGGGAACATGGTTAAATTTTTGGAATATGGTTCAAAGGTTTATAACCATTTGGCACTAATAAATAATTCAGTGTTGATTAAAATATTAAAGTGATACAAAAAAACATTTTTGGTTGACCCTATTTTGGATGCCTTTCAACATTCCCAATGTTTTTTTGGGAGGCGCAAAAATAATAGTAAGCAAAATATTTTCTATAATGTCTCATTTTTTGTCAGTTTTCTTGGCAGATTTGGTCACCACTTTTCAAATACAAAGCATTTTGGTTATTAATTTTATTATAACTTAATTCTGGATTTTCATTTTAATATATTATAACTGTGCCGTCAATCTTGGCAGTAAGTGTGTTTACTGTGTGTTCAGCAGGTAGAGTGGTATGAGAGCTCATACCTGTCCAGCAGTCTCTATATCTGGGGTCACCATCTCTCCACACCGGGTACATGCGGGAATTCCATGAGCGATATCGAGTAAAACGTGTTCTGGAACCTGAAAGAGCAGCGATAAGTCAGAAACTGCTGCACTGACATTACTAGGAGACTCATTATCACCCTCAGCACTCTGATGGGCTCCATCCACCACTGTTTACGTTCCTGGTGTAGTCCTGCCCTCGCCGCACAGTGTTAGACAAAGGAAACAGGAGGCCGTACTAATGTCTTAATTAAGCTCTAAAGTCATTTGACCAGCAAGTTTACATTACATAACACATTATAAAACACAGATCATGATGTAAATAAAGGCTGTAACTGATGTGCAATTTGTAAAGCATGCTAAAAAAAAAAAAATTCCACAAAAATTAAAGACCTAAAATTCCTATTAATCATTTAAATTTGTTTTTAAGAAACATTTAAAATATATTTTTTAATCTAGTTTTTCTTTAAAGTTATAATGCACTGCAACTTTATTTATTTTCTGTGCTGTTTTACTTTATTTTATTTTAATATAATTATTTTTGTCCTTTTTGTTTAAAACACCCAAAGAACCCTTTGCAGGATTAAAGGGTTCTTTGTATTCGGTTCTTCAGATTGTTGGAGAAAGTGTGTTATATGGTTCTATACAGAGCCATTTTGAAAAGGGTTCTATATAGCACCAAAAAGGGTTCTTCTATAATAACAAGTTTGACATCGTAACAATAGCAGAACCCTTTTTAGTGCTATATAGAGCCAATTTAAAAAAGGTTCTGTATAGAAGAGATATGTATATGGAGAGTAAGGCACTCTCCAACAATCTGAAGAATGCTTTTGGATGCAAAGAACCCTTTAATCATGCAAAGGGTTCTTTGAGTGTCCATGGGTCTATATAGAACCATTGTCATTACTAAAGAACGCTTGAAGAACCGCCTATTTTTAATTGTGTATATTTAAAAAAAAAAAGGAAATGTCATATTATCGCAGTAAAAAAACAGATTGTTGGACTTTTTAACAGAACAGACACTTTTTATATTTTAAAAGTGTTTAAATTCCAGTTTTCACAGATCAGTGACGTGTACAAAATGACAGATGTAACCAACATTTTTGTTTGGGCGCTCAGTTTCCATGACAAACTTGCAAAAAATACAACATGGTGCCACTTTGATGGGTGTGATCATACAGACTCTAACATTCACTCAGAAAAAAGCATGAACAACAGCAGTGGCAGTACAGCCTTTCTCCTTTACCAGAGATTACGATGTAGTTATTTTTAATTATTATTTTTTTTATTAAGCACTTTCAGGTCAGTTTCACCTGCCAACCAGTCACCAGATAGTGACAAAAAGAACCGAATTAAATATTGTCACTGTCCAAAGAAAAACTAGTATCTCCAAAATAGTAACTTCACGGGAGAAGCCAAAAATGTTCTTTACATTCAATTTGAGTTAATGGAAAGAGTTTTTATTCTAAGTAATTTTGGAGCATTTCTGTTGGTCCAGTCATCATGAAATTTTCACACAATGTAAAGGACAGCTGCTGAGCTCAAATTATGCATAAAAGTAAAAATCGCAAAAAATATATATATACATGTTTTTCATTGGACAGTGACTGTATGTTTTTGTTGTGCCAATGTTAATGCACAATGTCTTCCCCCAATATGTTAAATTCAGCAAATAAACAGTAATTTCACATTGCAAAGTACCCTTAATTCATGCAAATGGTTCTTTGAGTGTGCATGGTTCTAAATAGAACCATTTTCCTTACTAAAGGACCCTTGAAGAACCATCTTTTTAAGAGTGTACTGTACTATACACAATCGGATTTGAGGTAAATTCAGTGCATCAGTTTTATCAGAACGCTTTAGTGAGTTAGATGTTCTAGAGGAGCTTGTGGTCAGACTGGGAGGAGATGAAGGCGTACTGGGGGGATGCAGTGTTCCAGGCAGTGGGAGTCACACACCCCTCTCAATCCCTCAATCCTTTTCATGTGATTCTCAGCTGAGTGCATACAGTCATAATCCCAACTTTAGGAATGAGGAAAGAGCCTGAGGAGCTCAGATATCAGAGCAGAACATCTGCAGGACATATAGAAACATCTGCATATGCAAGGTTTAGTTTATGAGTGTAGCAGAACACTTGAAACCTTCTACTACTGTTGTCCTACACTCCTAAAAATACTCTTTAAGGGTTCTTTAGTAAAGACAGTCGTTCTAAATAGAACCATGAACACTCAAAAGGCCATTGGCATGCTTAAATGGTTCTCTGTATGGTAAAATGGTTCAGATTGATGGAGAATGTGTTGTATTTGGTTCTGTATATAATCTTTTTTGAAAAGGGTTCTATATAGCAGCAAAAGGGGTTCTGCTATAGTTTATAATGATAGAAGAACCCTTTTTGGTGCTAAGAACCCTTTAAGCATGCCAATGGTTCATTAAATGTTCATGATTCTATATGGAAGTACTGCCTTTACTAAAGAAGAACCTTGAAGAACCATCTTTTTTAAGAGTGTACCTAAACATTCCCTAATGAATCTTGTAATGGATGGTTCTTCATGGTTCTAAAGTTTGTTGGGTAATTTACCACAGCTGGACTTAAGAGAGAGATTTTGAATCTGCACCCTTTCAGTTCTATACCAGGTTTTCCTAGAACCGTACATCCAAGCTAAGAACCATTTAATGACCTTAATTTTTAAATGCTGCATTCATTCTTATGTAAGAACTAATTCTAGATCCAGAGGTTAGACTTAAGTTAGCCTACACTCCTAAAAAAGTGAGGGTTCTTTAGAGCTCTTTGAGTGATGGACGACTTTTGGTTCCCTAACTTTCCCTGTTAGTCTGAAGAACCTATTAAAAGTTTAAAAACCTTCACATACTGTGAAGGTTCTACACCACTTCCTAGAACCTCTACACAATGCATAGGTTCATAAAACTTTATTAAGGTTCTCTCCACTCACACATCTCTCATCACACATCCATTAAAAGGTTCTTTAGGGAACCAAAAGTGGTTCTTCTCTAGCAAAATGCAAAGAAAGCTTTTTAGCCCCTCTAAGAATGGAAGTGGGAACAAATTGAGGGAAACAAGACTGTGACATCAGATAAATGTAAACAAATAAATAAACATATTTTGAAAGGAGTTCTCTTCAATAACTGGTAAAAACTGCTACCGAAAAGTGTTTAAAACATAAACACAGATTTTTAACATTGAAATTTTATGTAAAATAAAAAAAATCACAGATCTCAAGTGGAAACTTTACAGTAGAAGGACAATAGAAGAAAAAAAATCTTCTTTGATTGGGAGTTAATGGAAAACAAAATCTGTTTGGAGCATTTCTATTGGTCCATTCTTTCAACTCAATTGTGTTAAAAACGGAAAATGACAAAAATGAAGATAGAGGTTTTTGTTTTGACAGTGATGATAAACAGCTGTACAACTCCATTCTGACCCTGACATTATTTTTCAGTGAGATAACACTGGATTATTTGAGGTTCCTCTTGGAGCATTTGAGCTCTGAATCTAATGGTAGCTATGCTATGCAAATCTACACATCATTATTGGCTGATGCCCTGTGAGGCTGTAATAAACATGAGCTAATTCCATATATTTTTCCACTGAATAGTCCATTGTCTGGTCACTCGTATAAAAAAGTTTGAACACTCCTGGTGAACTTGCATGCTCTGTTGATTTTCTAGGAAAAAATAAGCCATATGGCTTTTTTTCTGAATATTTTAGTACACAATTCTACTTTATCAAACTGGAAAAAATGAAACACAAAATATAAATGGTGCCATAACTTTTGCACAGGGCACATTTTGTGTTTTCTCCCCAATACGTTAAATTCAGCAAATTAACACTAATTGTGCATTAAAATGTGCAGATGTGTGTCTCTGTAGAAGATGTGTTCACTTATTTACACTCGGAGAATCAACAAAACATTAAATCGACTAGGGGCGCCTATACTTTTGCACACCACTGTAGTGTCTCGTTTTATACTGTGTCAAAAATCACATCAGCTAAACATTTGAAGCAATAAATGCATACTCACTGGCTGTTGCAGCAGAAGAGAGGACCAGAGCCAGAACTGTGAGAATCGTCCTCATTCTTGTAAAGTTTAACCCCCACCCAACAAGACTGCAATCCCCCCGTCCACAATCCCTGAAACGCAGACCGACTCGAGACCCCTGAGGTGTGCCAAACTGTCTTTAAATGAGGCTCAACCTCTTTAATCACCCAAAGAGCGCTCGCAGCTCTGACATCATGCCCGGCTCCTCCCCCTCCCCGAGGCTCTGTTCGAGCAGGATTCAGTTAATCACTGAGAATTTTATATTATTCCAAAGCCTCTAATAATTATTAGCGGCAGGTATTAAATTAAGATCGGAGCGGATCAGGTTTGACTCCTGAGTCAAATGTGAAGAAAAGCAGGCTTTGAAATGAGCGGGCTGAGTTGCACTGATGCTGTCTGGCTGCTTGCGTTTGCCTACGCTCAGTGCACCCCAGCCTTTCTACAGTACCTTTCCTGTAAAATTAGGTGACCAAGTGAGAAGACACTTTTAAATGACCGGAAACGTTTTTGAAAGTTTTTGTAAGTGTTGTTAAAGTCTCAAAACATAATTCATACAATTCATCTATGAAAACTAAGCTGCAAAAACATCCTGTTTTGAGTTCATTGTTTCTGTGATGTCACAAGAATGATGCCTATAGTACACTCTTTAAAAAGATGTTTTTTCCCTTTTGTTTATCAAGCCTACCTCGATAAACATAAGGATTTGCATGCATTACTTTGTACTAGGGGCTGCACAACTCAACAGGTATGTAATGAAAGTCGAGTCGACGTTGATTCATTACTGATGACGTCATAAATCCACAGGAGATGGGAACGCTGCAACAAGCATAGTTTAAAAATTCAACTTTAAAAATCTGTGACAAAGTCAAACCCCATAGGAGTAGAACATGACGAGCCCTTTCTGCCTCCTGAAAGATCTAAGCCCTTTTGATGCTTTTTGATGATCAGAACAGAGCTCATTTATCATATATCAGTCTTAAAGGCACAGAAAGAAAAACAGCCTGTTTAATGCTAAGAGATAGGTTGGAAAATGGTCATTAAAAAATTAATTTTGAACCACACAAATGTTATAAATGGACCAAACAACATACAATATGGGCTCCTAACATGGGATTTTACCAGGATGTATGTGTAAAAAACTGAATGTGAAAAGTGGTATATATACCACTGGTATATATATATATATATATATATATACATAAATATATATATATATATATACATAAAGCAATGTAGTACTCAGATCTTAGACATTTATGAGTTTATGAGGATTATGTTATGTTTTGGTCTATATAAACCCAAAAATCATCATTTATAGGATACTTTCTACTGGGAGGTGTCTGTCCCAAAACCCCTAAACTTATACTTGTAAATACTTACTTTTGTATCTTTTCAATTTTAAAAGATATTTTTTATTTGTTTTAAAGTGAAGTTGAAATATTTAATTTTATCATAAGTTTAAATAAAAAAACATTAAGAATTTTTTGTTCGCAGGTGGAGCCTTATTTTAGCCATGCCCCTGCATTTTACAGCAGGAAGTGAGACTGCATCCCTGTCCCTCATGGCCACATGGCGAGAAGTTAGATCCCATTGTTTTGAGGTAAATCTGTCCCAAAGTCTGAAAATTAGAAGAATGGTCACTACCAAGATATATTTTCTGCAATTAAGGACATTTTTTAATGTTTTCATGTAAAATATTATGAAAAAGTCCAAATTCAGTTGAAAGTCGCAAACGTTTTCAACAGACCTTCAACCGGTTCAGCAGAGTGATCCATGCAGCTCTTCCAGTCGAATCGAGTCGTGGAGCACCTTGATATTTCACGATGCACTGAATCATTTCCTAAAGAATCATAACTGAATCGAATCACTGAGGTCACAGGTTTGCTCCCTCACTCCACAGACACGCAGGGAACCTGTGATAAAAGCTCATTAGGACTGTGAGTACAGTAAGCCGCAGCTTTGAAAAGAAAGGGGCCATTATAGAGGGCCTGGAATGCGGGAGCCGTGTCTCCAGGTCATGCTGGTGTAAGAAGACGCTGTGAAAAGCCTCGGAGCTCACTGGATGGGGGTCACAAGATGAGAGTCTGTGGAGGCCCATCAATGATGTTCTTTCACCACGTTACATTTCACTCTTTGCCTGAGTCTCTCTCATACGTCAGCTCTCTCTCTCCTCTCTGTCCTTCCTCAGGTCACGTCTTATGTTATGACTCTCCTACGCTCGTCAAAATGAATGTGCTAAAAAAGGGTTCTTCTGGTTCCCAACAGAACCTTTCAACGAATCGCTCTTTAAAGGGGAACTCCACTGATTTGTCAAAACATCTGCATAATTAAACGGTTAACATGTAAACAGAATCATTCAGAGCAGTTTGGTGTGAAATGCTCTGTTCTAGAGAAACTTACTGAGTCAGAATTGTTCACAGTGGTAGTGATAGGAACCAGACTTCCACCTCTAAAAGCTCCCTCACAGAAAGTTAGTACATGAAATGGTTATGAATACACTGCCTGATGGCTGAGACGTTGTTTTATGGCAGTTTTGAGAAGGTTTTGGCTTAAAACAGATTTTAAAATCCATGCATGGTGGATTGTCTTGATTTTCAAAGAAGCTCCACCTGATGTAAAGGTTCTCCACCAGGGGTGCTCAAATAAAACTTGCAAAGGTCCCGTTACATTCAATTTCTTGCTTAAAAAAGTCCAGATAAATAATCTAACAGATGAAATATAGACATAGTTAACATACCCACTTAAAATGATGGTTCTTTAAGGGTTCTTTAGTAAAGAAAATGGTTCTATATAGAGCCACAAACACTCAAAGAACACTTTGCTTAACTGAAAGGTTCTTTGTATCATGAAAGCGTTCTTTAGATTGATGGTGAATGTATTGTATATGGTTGTATATGGAACCTTTTTGAAAAGAGTTCTATATAGCACCAAAAAGGGTTCTTCTATCATAGCAAGCTGGACATACACAAGACATCTTCCGTTAGTCTGAAGAACCCCTTTAAGAACTGTTTTATTATGCAAAGGGTTCTTTGAGTGTTCATGGTTCTATATAGAACCATTTTCTTTACTAAGGAACCCTTGAAGAACCATTATTCTTAGGTGTGTAGGCAAAAATGGTTGCCTTTAAATCTTTAACAAAATGATAAATAGATAGATAGATAGATAGATAGATAGATAGATAGGTAGATAGATAGATAAATAAATAAATAAATAAATAATCAGAAAATGTTTTTAAAAGAAAAAAATCTTCAAATATATATACTTAATAAATTAAGTATATAAAAAATAAAATTTGATTAAAGTAAAAAAAAGAATTAATAAAGCATAATTACATGTTTTGTTGATTTTCTATGTGAAAATAATTTAACACATCCTCTACAGAGAACACTCTTCTTTACATCTTAATGCACAGTTAGTGTTTATTTGCTCAATTTTACCTATTGGGGAAAAAAAGTAAAACATGGCCTGTGCAAAACTTATGGCACCTTTTATTCATTTTTTTTCCACTATGTTAAACTCAACAAATAATGCATACCTATGATACTAATAAAAACACTATTACATCATTACCAAAATAGACACACAGTATAATCATACGAAATCAGTGATTAATAAATCACACACACACACACAAACACACACACACACACACACACACAAACACACACACACACACACACACACACACACTTAAAAACACACAGAGCCATTAGCAATGCATGTGACCGTTCATGTGCTGATCAGGACAGCGTTTCTTGCCCTCTCTGTTCACCCTGTGAAGCACCTGACCAACCGACCAGCCATGCAGCTCTGCACCCACTAACCGAACAGCACCACAGCTCCAAATACCATCGCATTCACACAGCACACACACTCATTCATTCACACACTCACTCACAGGACCATCATTACAACATATCACCCAAATCAAATGTCTACTGAATCTTAACATGATCTGCAGGCGTCTTAATAAAGGGCTAAAAAGCCTCTTATCTGTATTTTATGTAACAATTAAATCCATATAAGTATTATGAGTGTTTTGTTGGAGTCGTGCTGCATGCAGGCGCCACTGGAAGGAGTTCAGAGAGACTGCAGTGCTGAAAGTGAAATGCTTGGAATGTGAATTTCATTAGTGTGAGCTGCTCTGCTCAATAAATTACTGCTCAATACCTTCCACCAGAAAACTCTACACAGTCCCTCCTTAAAGATTCCTCCTCTTTTCAATCCCTTCAATAAAATTCCAGAAGCAGTTCAATAATAACAAACCTGTTAGTGTCAAAAGATCAGAATCAGCTGTGAGAGCTAACAGTGATACTGCCTGCAGCAGCTTAGGACACGATCTTTAACCCGTCAATCCACTTCAGTTCCTCAAACTCACAGCTTACACTTCAGCTTCATCATAAGCTCTGAATAATTCATAATACATACTGAATAATTCATAACATTTACTGAATTCCTTACATAGTTGATGACTGATTCATAGCAGTTACTGAACTATTAAACCAGTTAATGATGAATTTATAGTGTTTACTGAATTATTTATAGTAGATAATCAATAATTCATAGTATATGCTGAATTATTTATTTAGATGATTAATTCATAGCATTTACTGAACTATTAATAGCAATTACTGAATCATTTAGAGTAGTTACTGAATATTGCGTAGTAGGTAGTGAATAATTCATAGTGGTTACTAAATAATTCATAGTAGATACTGAATAATTTATAGTAGATACTGAATAATTCATAGTGGCTACTGAATAAGTCATAGTAGCTACTAAATAGTTCATAGTAGATACTGAATAATTCATGGTAGATACTGAATACTTCATGGTAGATACTGAATACTTAATGGTGGTTACTAAATAATTCATAGTAGATACTGAATAATTCATTGTAGTTATTGAATAATTCATAATAGATACTAAATAAGTCAGAGTAGTTACTAAATCATAATAGATACTGAATAATTCATATTAGATACTGAATAATTCATGGTAGATACTGAATAATTCATAGTAGATACTGAGTAATTCATGGTAGATACTGAATAATTCATAGTAGATACTGAGTAATTCATGGTAGCTACTAAATATTTCATAGTAGATACTGAATAATTCATAGTTGTTACTGAATAATTCA